GGGAGGTGGCCAGCGGGTGGGGGGGTGCTGAGGGGGTGCGCTTGATTGGCCCAGAGAGCAAGGTGGGGGCCCTGGCCAGCTCGGCCTCCAGCCCCGGAGGGGGCAGGGGAGGGCGGTGAAAGGTGGTGCTGGGGAAACCGGGAGCGGGACTTGGGCTTTGCGTTGCGGGACAAAGAGGCCAGCGGGTCCCTAGCCGCAGGTGACCAGGCGAGACTAGGACAGCTACGCAGAAACCAGCCCTCAGGTGGCCAGTGAAAGGCGGTTCGTGCTGAAGCAGCCTCGGACGCGCTCGCTGCCCTCCCCCACCCACGCGGGCGTCGCCGGCGTCGCGGGCGTCCGGGCGCCCTGTGAAAGGCCGAGAGCCCGGCGGGCGCGGGTGTGGAGCTGCCTCGCCCAGGCGCGCTGCGCTCGGGTTGGACGGCTCCCAACCGTCCCCGTGCGCTGGGTGCGGCTGTGAGGAGCCTCAGCGGCAGGCGCTTGCTTTCCGTCCTCCCGCTGCCCGATGCCTTTTGATGCACCGCCATTTTCTCACACTCACGAGGGCTTTGCAGGTGATAGGAGGTTGGGTATGAGTTGTGCGCCCTGCATGAGGGAAACCGGCTTCAGAGCCTGGATGGGGGGTTTGGGGGGGCAGGAAAGCAGTCGAGGTGCCAGGTGAGGCAGCCCCTGCCCAGTAGGGTGAAGTGTCGCCCCAGCTCCTGAGGACAGGCGTCCTGGCCCTCTGCTTGCAGGTGAAGGAGGAGTGCCGCCTGCTCAACGCCCCACCTGTGCCTCCACGGGGTGCCAACGGCAGCGGGCGGCTGTCGGGCAGCCCCCCGGTGCCCCCACGCTTCCCCAAGCTGCAGCCTGTCCACTCACCCAGCTCCAGCCTCTCCTACTACTCCTCTGGCCTCCAGGATGGGTGAGCCCCTTCCGTTTCTTGGTGCTGGGTCCTCCTAAGGCTGATGGAGGGGGGCTGCGAGGGGATGGGTGCTGAGGAGGAGGATGACTGCAGGGTGGGGTGGGCGGTCGTGGGGGTCCTTCGGGTCCGCTGGCTGCGGAAGAGGGCTGCTGTCCAGGGTCTGGGAGCCGGCCCAGCCGCCTGTGCCCTGCCGCCGTCCTGCTCAGTTTGCTTCTGTCTTATGCCGGTCGGTGGGTGCATCCGCCCTGGCTGCCGCCGGTCTGGGACGCTGCCACAGGGTGGATCGTGTGTGTCCTTCAGTTTAGCTCGTCTTTTGGGGTCTCGGGCCTGGAGGCTGGGTGCCGGCCAGTGCGGCCGAGACCGAGGGTGGCCGCTGTGGCCTGCAGAGCGCAGCCTGCCGTGTGTGCGCCGCGTCGCTGTTGGCTCTCCGCGCACCGCCTCACCTTCCCACTCGCGTCTCTCTGCCACAGGGTGGGTTCCCGCAGTGGCAGTGGCTCTCCGTCGCCGGATGCCTACTCCCTCTATTGCTACCCATGCACCTGGGGAGACTGCAAGGTGGGCGAGTCCTCTAGCCGCCCGCCCCCGGGCCCCCTGCCCTCGACCACGCAGCCCAGCCAGGCCTCCTGGGTCCTCGCGGAGCCCCTGAGCAGTCGAGCTGCCTCCCTCTTGGGCACTGACAGCCCTGTCAAGACCTACCACAGCTGCCCGCCTCTGTTCAAGCCCTCTCACCCCCAGAAACGCTTTGCTCCGTTCGGAGCGCTCAACCCCTTTTCCGGGCCTGCCTACCCCTCGGGCCCGGCAGCGGCCTCCTCTTCTGGGCCCACAGCCTCCTCGGGCCCCCTGGCTACCTCCAGCCCTGCTTATTCCCCAGGCCCAGGCTCTCCAGGCCAGACCTATGCAGCTGCTCCCGCCTCCTCCTGCCCCACCTCCTCCTCCTCTTCCTCTGAGTGGCAGGAACCGGTCCTGGAGCCCTTTGATCCCTTTGAGCTGGGGCAGGGCAGCTCTCCAGAACCCGAGCTGCTGCGTGGTCAGGAGCCCAGAGCTGCGGGGGCCTCTGGGCCTGGACCCTGCCTCTCGCCACTTGGACCCCCCAAGGCCTTTGAGGCTGAAGGTTTGGTGCTGCGGCAGGTCCCTGCCCCACTGTCACCAGCAGCCCTGCAGGGGCCAGAGGCCGGCGGAGCTCGACTCCTTCTCAGCCAAGGGTGCCTGGAAGGGCCTCCTGCCAGTCCTCGGGATGGTGCCCCAGGCTGGGGAGGCCGGGATGCGTCCTCCTGGCAGCCCCCCGCTGACCTGTCTGCACTCTCCCTGGAGGAAGTCTCTCGAAGCCTGCGTTTCATCGGGCTCTCAGAGGACGTGGTGAGCTTCTTTGCCCGAGAGCGCATCGATGGCAGCATCTTTGTCCAGCTCAGTGAGGACATCCTGGCCGATGACTTCCACCTCACCAAGCTGCAGGTCAAGAAGATCATGCAGTTCATCAAAGGCTGGCGGCCCAAGATCTGACCTTTCTTGTGGGCAGCTGCACAACTCGGCAGGCTGGCCGAGAGGCCCTGGGGCCAGCGCGGCCACAGGGGGCAGCCCTCCCGGAGCTGGGGGCGGGGATGCCAAGACCGAGGCTGCTAGGCTGCCGAGTGACTCCAGGGAGACACACTTGGGCATGGGGCCTGCTGGGCCCCTGCGCAGAACGGCAAGACTGGCGGCACCACTGCCCATGTGGGCCCGGTGACACTTCTGCTGATTCCCAGAGAGGAGGGTGAGAAGCTGGCCTGCATGGCGACCTGTACCCCGGCTGCGGAGCTTCAGCCATCTTGCACTTCTTAAACTTGTAGGTCCAGGTTAGAGACAGGGAAGGTGGTCTGCAATTTAAGCACAAATCCCCCAAGTGCCGTCTCCTTGCGCTCTGCAGGCGTTTGGTGGAAGGTGCCAGAGTCCGAGTGCCGATTTCTGTGTCTCTGGGACGCCCTTCCTGCCCCCTGCTGCTCCGCCCCACGGCGGGCTCGGACCTGAGCACAGGTGTGTCCGGTGCAGGTTGTGTCCTTTCACTTCCGAGGCCCTACCTCTGGGTTCTGGTTCGCGGAAGAGCACAGCTCTGCTGGTGACTTGCGGATCTAGTTAGGGAGGCGGATGCCCCCCACCCCGCTGTGCCTCTAGCACCCTCGCTTCTGCCCTGCGCTGGTGCCCAGCTAGCCCTCCATCCTGCCAGCTGGGTCCGGCCCGGAGGTTCTGCCGCCATGGAGAGCAGATTGTGGTCAGCTGCTCCTTGAGTCTAGAGACAGGTGGCCTTCGGCTGCTCCCACTTCCACCCGTCTCCTGTCCCCATCGGTTGGCAGTGGCAAACACGATGCCTTTCCCTGGTTCTGTCATGCCACATGCAGGTGGGCACAGATGGGCAAGCATGTGAGTTGGGGAGCTGACCCTTTCTTTTCCCTGTGGACCCCGCTGCGCCTAGCCAAATGCCTCGAAGCAGGCCTGCACGCCCTGGGTTTGGGGCTCTGCTGGGCACCCAGTGTGCTGCCATTGGGCACAACCACACCACCACACCCCCCAGCTTCCCTACCCAGTCGCAGTCTCCCCTTGATCAGTGTCAGGGCCAGAGCGACAGCCTTTTCTGCCTTACCTAACCTATCTAGATATTTATTTCCTCTACTTTTCTTTTAAGAGTTAGTGAAGCCACACTGGTGCTCACCCCCAACCCCCCCCACCCCCCCAGGCTGCCTCAGCTGAGGCAAGGAGAGCAGAATCTGCTTTTCTTGCTGGTCACATCGTGAATCCTCAATGACTGGTGGAATAAACGCCAAGCCGCTGAGCACAGTGTGAGTGGAACCCTGGGTGTCACCCGCTTTCTTTCGGAGACCACGGGGTTGACAGGCTGCTGTGTACACGCCGGGCAGGGTCGGACTCCGGAGTGGGGTGCTGGTGTTTGTGCCCTGGCGGCAGCTGCTAGCTGGCCCACGTGCCTTTCTGAATGCCCCTCACCAACCCCAACTTGAGAATCTTCAGCTCCCACGAATGTTTCAACAGTCCACACCTACCTCATGCTGCTGGAGGAAGACCCGGCTTCCCAGATGAGCGCCGGAGCCAGGGCCACGTCCTCTTGGCCCCACAGTTAGGGAGAGGCCTGCCAATGGCCTTGCGCAGAGGACCAGAGGCTGGCTGGTGACTGCCTCTCAGAGGTGACTGGGCTTTGGGTCTGGCTTCCTCCCGAACGTGTCAGTGTGTAGTAGCACCAGAGCGAGGCTCCCGGCCTGCTGTCCTGGGACCGGGGCAGCGGTGGGCGCCATCACTGGTCACCAGACGGCTGCTGCGCATGGGGGGGGGGGGAAGTGGTGGGAACAACCTGCGCCACTTGTCACTTGAGCACCACCTAGGCTCTGGGGCAGTCAGGACGTGCAGGGGGTACGCAACAGGGAGTTATTTCAACTGCTTAACTCCACAGTTTTCCCACAAATACCTGGGGCAACACATATGAATGAGTGACCCCAGAAAAGAGCTGGGAAAAGTAGGGTCAAGGAAATGCAGTTTGGGGAAAGGCGTCTCACATGCCACTCCTGTGGCTCTGGTTGGCCAGGGCTGCCTCCCTGCCGAAAGCACACGCCCAGCCAAGCTCTTCAGTGCAGCCAGGGTTGGCGGCTTTAGGGTCACTGAGACCTCCATCCTCTCACAGTCTCTCTTACGCTGCTGCCTACAACCCTCCCAACAGTCTTACCCCCAAACACAGGCATTTATCGCAGCCCACCCCTTGAGGGACACTTCAAACTAGAAGGACAAAGGGTAAAAGAAAAAGGAGCTGGGCAGAGAGGCTGCTGGAGAGTTCGGTTTTTATTGATACGCGTCTGGCCGGGCAGAAATGCTGGCACCACCACTGCTCGCCGTTGGCCTCGGGAGGGACAGGCTCCAGAGAAGCTGCTTTGGGCCTGTGACTTCATGGGCGTGGTGGGCTCCGCCTTCCAATCTGAAGTGCAAACTAATTCACAGCCAGACTTCACTGGGAGGAAGACGGTTAGAGCTGAAGGCACTTCAGTCAAGGGCACACCAGTGCCAGAGTTTGCTTCCCTCTGGCGACTCTGATAAATCTAGTCACTCAGCTGGACAACCAGCCCTGGGGTTAGTGTGCAGGCAGCAGGCTGAGGAGCCTGCTCACTGGTAAAACTTCTTGGAGCTGCTGGCGTGGTCAACAAGCAGCTGGCACGGGGTGAACTGCTTCCCATAGGCAGCCTCGTACTTCCTGAGCCGGTCCACGATCTTCTGTGCGCCATACAGATCCACAAAGCGGAAGGGCCCTGGAGGGAGAAACGGGACGCTGTGGAAGGAGCGCAACACGAACTCTGGGCCAGAGAGTCGCCTTCCCGACCTGCAGCACCAACCTCCGAGACAGGGGGGGAAGCCGAGCCCAAAGACGGCACCGATGTCTCCCTCTGCAGGAGTGGCCAAGATCCCTTCCTGCAGGCACATGGCTGCCTCATTCACGAATCGTGTCACCAGGCGGTACTGGACGTCTTCATCGGAGGAGCTGCCAACAGGAGATGTTGATGTGGAGGAAAAGTCAAGGGAGAGCAAGGCAGGCGCAGGCGCAAAGTGAACGCGGGCTGGTGCTGGCGGGCCTTAGACAGCAGAGAGCTGCTGCCCTAACAGCCTGAGGTCAGGGCCTCTACAGGCTCTGTCAGCGTAGATGCTATCTCTGACCCAGCAGCGGTCAATTACAAATGACACTAACAGGCTGAGAGAGTAGAGGCAGGACAGTCTTGTTCTAGCTGCTCGCTGGGACCTTCAGAGGGAAGCTGGAGCAGGGTCCCCCGAGAGTGTGCTACAGCCCCCCCTACTGCCTGGCAGAGAGCCAGGTGGCATATGGAAGGGCAGCGTATAAGGCACTGTGCCCTGCGCAGCCATGGACTGAGGAGAACAGGTCTGCATGCTGCCGGGCACGTCAACTTACACCTCGGGCTTAGGCGGCACCTTCAGACCTGCCAGAATACCATCCATGTCGGAGTTCAGATTCTTATTCTTCACACCTTCCTGGTAGATGTAAAAACCCTTCCCAGATTTGCGACCTAAAACAAACAAGGGAGAGTTAAATTCTCACTCCTGGCCTGAGAATCCCCAACTCTACTAATGTCTTAGAAAACTCTAGGCTCTCATCTGTATTCCTGAACTTGCATATCTAACCCTAGAAACGTAGTTTGATAGAGAAGTCTTGTTTCTTGGAGCTTGGTAATCTGTCTGGATGAGAATGGCCACTGGGTGGGTTTTAAATGCCCAGGCACAAAACATGCCAACGGCCTAGTGTGGGCTTTGCTTCTACTTTGCCAAGAGAGGAAGCCCCCTCTGGTGGGCCTTGACAGCACACTCTTAGACTACGGTTTTACTTGCCAGGTGGCCAGACACCACGGGGCGGCGGGCTGCTTCAGCAGAGCTCCTCAGTGTCACAGATGCCGCAGCTGTCTGCCATAAATTGGCCAGGTAGTAACCGCAAAGCCTTAGAAGGCCAGAGATCGGCCTCTTCCCCATAATCTGCAGGCCCAGCCTAAGACATTTTCATGAATTCATTTTTGAAATTCCCTATGATAGTGGGCTCTATGTTTAAGAAATACTCTTCCACATGGGCTCATGACTCTTGTTTCTAGACGCTTTGTAACTGATGGTGCTAATTATGCTTTCTTGAGATTACTCACCCAGGAAGCCTTTGGACACCATCTGTTTCAGCAGTTCTAAACTTCCACCTTCAAATCGCTCCCCAAAGGCTTTGCCTAGATCTTCTGCTACGTGCTTTGCTACATCCACACCAACTTCATCCACCAGTGTGGCAGCACCCACAGGAAAGCCAAAGCTTGTGGTGAGGGTATCCAGCTTCTTGGGGTCAACACCCTCCTGAACAGGAAGTGAAGCGGGGAGGTCAGGGGAAGGCCAGCCCTGGTCTGACACAAGGACTCCCAGCGCTGGACCTCAGCCACAGCCTTGTGCCACACCCGCTTCATGTCTGGCACCACCGGCTCAGGCCCAGGGCTGGGGCTGTGTCTTGGGGAAGCACAGAGAGGGCTGGAGCCTAAGGGTAAGGCTGAGCCTTCCCTAACCTCTAACACTTTAAGGAGTCAGGAGATGAACTAATTATTCATGCCCTTGTTTGTAACGCTGCTTCTCAGTGGCAAGACTCCATAGCAGCCAGGGCTAAGTTTCCCCGGATGGACAGACGTCACTAAGCAGCGTGCAGCGGACCCCACGATCCCTGTGTCCTGGTCAGTGCCCAGTGAAGAGGTAATCTGTCTGCATGGGAAAGGCCACTTGGGTGAGTTTTAAATGCCCAGACAACACCAGATCTCAGGATGCTAAGGGCTTAGTGTGGATTTTGCTTCTACTTTGCCAAGAGAGGAAACTCCTGCTGGTGGGCTTGACAGCACACTCTTAGGATCAGGTTTTATCTGATGGCCCTTTTGTGCTAGTGATGGACAAGCCATTGAGAGGGTCTGTGTACAGCACAAACAGATTCCACACCAGTAAGATGAAGTGGGCCCTGTTCTGGATGGTCCTTACCTCAAAGGGGAGACTACAAAGGCACCTAACCGGATGTGGGGAGCGAGGGAGCAGCGCTAAAGTTCTGTTCAAGTGTTACAGCTCTTTTGGGATGTTTTCTGAGCCTCACTGGGAGACCCTCTCCCTCCACAAAAATTCTCGCCCTCGTAGTGCAGCGTAAGTCCACGACTAGCTATACCGGACAGAAAGGAGGCCACAAAAGCGCCTTTTCGGAGAAGCACTGGGAGTCGGCACATTACATCTTGACATCCATTTCGAGGACCAGCTTAAGGAGATGCGAGAGCAATACCAACCTGGAGAATCCTGATGACTTCTGACATCATGGGCGCGAGGCATCTGGTGGTATAGAAGCCAGGTCCATCCTGCCAAGGAAGAGAACGTGTGCTCACTGGCTTCTCATGGTACTACCCTTGTCTGAAAGCAGTCTTGACTGCTTAAGTCAGTTAAGGTGATTTAAATCTCAATCGAATCCTTAAAATTAAAATGCAGGCAACGCCACAGCCAGGTACTGCCTGGCCAAGAGCACAGCAAAGAGTTTCAGTCACCTGAAAAGTATGGAGTGGCTGAGAGAAGCTGCAACATCCCAGACACTCCCCACTCCAGCCCTGACCCAGGAGTCTGGTCGACACCACGGCCCCTATCAGAGGTGACATGGGAAGTCGGAAAGCCGATGTGTCTGTGCCAGAATCACAAACCAGGAGGTGTCTGGCATCTGAACAGAACCTCTCTGACGCCACCTGTCACACAGATCCTCACCTTGACCACAATGATGACCTTCCCCTGCTTGAGACCAACTGCGACAGCAGAAGCAGTTGTGTCTTTTGAAGTTTTGTCAGTTGTGATGATCTCCAGCAGCTGCATCTTGTCCACGGGAGAGAAGTAGTGCATGCCGATCACCTGGCCGGGACAGAGCCAAAAGGTTTAAGGAAGCTGAGACGCCTCAGAGTGTCCCTTTCTGGGGGAAAGGGTGGCAGCTGAGACCAGGAACACCACCTGACAGCCAGATGGCTTGGTTCCATGGGTCTGTGGTAAGAAGTTCACCATGGTCAGGGAGAGGTTACTGGACCCCCTCTTCTACTTGCTACTAGGGCTTTGCCTTAAGGGTGAGTAACGCTATCAACAATTAGTACCACAATCAGCTAAAGGTCAGTTAGATTTACTGAGGATGAATGAAGGTTCCACTTGTACCAATGTTTTATTTCTTCTTGATTACTCTAGTAGAAAGCAGAAGCCCAAGGATAAACCTCATCATTCCAAGTGCTCACTAAAGCACTTCTACACCCACCCTTTCATTTCCAGGGTGCACGCTCGATGGGTCTAAGGACCCAAAGGTGGGCATGTCAGACACACCCGAGCTCCCATTCCTGGATCTGGAATTGGAATCAAACCTTCCTCCGAGTCACTGGAATGGGGTCTATCATGAGGTGACGTTTTGGTGCATTCCTTATTTTAGGTCTACTTTTAATACCCCAATAAAGATGGGTTTTATAGTCTGAACTGAAAAATAATACCAACTTGAATGCCAACCACCTATAAAAGTATATTTAAGACCTATTTCATTTATTCCTGCAACTCACTGGTTACAGTATACAAGTATAAAAGCAGTGTTTCTGTGCCCAATTATGGGAAAAATCACCATCCCCTGCACATCACAGTCCACACTCATCCCTTCTCATGTTCTAAGCCTTCATCAGTGAGCCTGAAGCTGTCCAGCAGTCTGGGTTTCCTCTGTTCAGAATTTACCTTCTCAGGTCTCTTGCTGACAGAAGCAATTCCACTGATTGGGAGAGCAGATGTGTTACTGGCAAAGATACAGTGGTCTGGAATCACCTGCGGGGGAACAATATTTAAGGTCTGGGAGACGAACCGAGCACAAAGCAAAACCAGCATGTGACACCAGGGCCCGGCCCAGCCTCCCGGCTGCCCGGACAGTAGCTAACATGCACCCAGACAGTCACGGTCCCGAGGCTTCTGTATCGGGGAAAGCGTCGCCCTTCTCTTCCCGTGCAGTCGGCTTCCTCGCACCCATCAAACGGCTGTCTCATGCTAACGGAGACTGCATCTCCACAGTTAGGTAAATGCAACACCTTGGAGAAGCACTTAAAAGTTGGCCATGAATCAGGCGGTAATGTGCACCCTACTTCATTTTATAGTGTTACTAAAAAAACTAACACTGTGATGATACTTACATTACATGAATACTATTTAACTACTAAACTGGAGAACAGTCTCTAAGGTAGATTGCCTCAGCATTCTGCCCATGACCTCAGCTTACTCATGTTTTTATTCAGATGCTTGGCTGAAAAATGCAAGTGCACCTATCAAATTTGTGCATATCTGGGACAGGCAGAATCCTAACATTATAGATGAACGTCAAAGATAGAATATAAAATGTTATAATGAGGAAAAAGGGTATTGCATAAAGACTTTAAAAAAAAAATAAAGGGCAAAAGATCTAGAAAGGCACTGGGTGGATAAGAGCTGAGCTGGCAGTAAACCTGTGATGAAATTCCATGATTTTGCTTAATCCAAAGTATAACATTAGTTGACAGTACAGTGTGACAGTAAGGAAAGAAAGCTGACAGTCTCAACTTGCATTATGGTTGTGTAGCGTCGAACGCTGGTAGCAGAACTCTCTTAAAGGAAAGCCAACATCTCCAGAGATGGCCAGCAACAATTCCTCCCCTTCGTGTACATGTCTGTCTCCTCCCATCCAGAGGTAGAGTCTGTTTTCTGTCCTGAATCTGGACAGGACTGGCCTGTGACTTGTTTTTGCCGATAGAAAGCAGAAGTGACTGAATTGCAGGCCTAGCCTTAAGAAGTCTGGCAGCTTCAGCTTTTGCTCTTTTAGAAGCAAAGATACAGTGGTCTGTAGAGAAGTTCTGGCTAGATGACTAAGGGTCGGCAGGCCGGGGGAAAGGGGAGCCATGTGGAGAAGCACTGAGGTACCCCAACAAAGCTTTCAGCTGAGTGTGGTGCTGTCAGTGACCCCATAAAAAAACCTCAGGAATTGAGAGCCAGCTGCCTCTGCAAAGCCTAGCCCAAACTGCAGAACTATGAAAAGGCAGCTATTTTTGCAATTATTTGTCACATGTCAATAGAATGCTGAGATACAATGAAGATATTAAAGGGGACAACCGAGACAGGGGAGGTCTGGGGATAAGATCTCAGGAAGGATGCAAAGGAGCTTAGCTCTTTGGAGAGGAAGAGAAAATAATTCTTATCGTAGAGATTCAGCTTTAAAATTTCTTATGAAGCAATGGACTTCATGTCTTCCCAAAGGTCTTTCACCAAAATTCTTTGATTTTCATTTTTTCTATTCTTTCTGAGTCTCTTATTTTAGATGATCTCACTAACTCACTAAAAATATAAAGGCATCTGATATGCAAATAGCTACAATACACAGAACATTCTGGGCTTTCCCTACGTAGTAATCTTCCTACCTAAAGCTGGCACTGTGTTGCGCACTTGCTGCTCAGCTCAGTGGTCTGCGTATCTGCCCGTGTCACCTCTGCTCACTCCTGCTCGTGCTCCCACCTGTGAACTTCACAACCCCACAGTGTTCTTTCCCTTTCCCTTCTAGGTCTGCCCCTCTCTTTCTCCCGTAATGTTTACATTTCTCTTGGATCTACTATATCAATGTATTCATAGTCTGCATGTCCCTTGATCTGGTCCCGCTTCCTTCTCTTTTCCTTGACCACTGGTTTCCTCATTGCTTAAAGAACACACTTTTCTTCATTCTGATACCCGCAAACTCAAGATTTTCCAGGGAAAATAGCACCACCAGTCAGCTGGTCACCCTGGCTGTGCCTGCAGTTGCTGTTCCCCAGGGTCAAGCTTTCACAGCTCAGCAGTGTCTCCAGAGCCCTGAGGATGCTGTCTGTACAGCTGAGCTGAAATGCCATTTGGCATGCATGGAACACACACCTTCCAGCTCATCTGGACTCCTGCACCACCCCCCCCCCCAACCCCGACCCTTGGCCCAACCCGCTGAGCCTGCATAATGCTTTGCCTAAAGGAAAAATTTTGGAATGTGTGAAAATCTGTTCACAAACTGGAGCACCTTAGGTTCAGTCTTCAGTAGAGCAGACTGCCCTCTCACAGAAGGCACCTCAGGTACACTGCAGGTTTCATCATGGCCCACAGCTGAAGACAACTGGACTGTTGCCAAGTGAGCCATTTCATTTGCTAACCCGCAATGCTTGCTAACTGTAGGCTAGTCTAGGCCCTGGTTCTGTCTTATGTCTGGAGGACTGCCATTTCTTCTCTTCCAGGTGTTTTCTTCATACTGTCCAATCAAGTATGTTTTCTTTCCATGCTGTTCCATCTCTAGAATTGTTTCTTGAATAGAAGACCTGGGGTATAGGCCAGAGATGCGGGGTAGGAGGGAGGTGGGTGAAAGGATTCACCAGAGAAAGAGTGGGGAGCATAACAGGCAGATTGACTGAAATACGCTGCTGAGGGGAGCAGTGAGTGGGTCAGGAAAGGTCTGCTGTGCCATATGGGTCAGCTCCCTGGTTGGGAATGGACCTCAGGCTGTAGTGGTGATAGTGCTGAGACTTAACCCTATACCAGGGTTAAGTCCCTCAGGACCCTCAAGAATTGTTTATGTGAAGCACTTAGGATCAAGACCAAAGCAGAATTTTCACGAAATAAGCATCCAAATCCTGACTAGACAAAGTGTTCCATCCATGTTTCCTTTGCTGCCTTGACTGAAGTAGTTCAGTTATGGCTTGAGTCAACCAAAATTGTCACCTGGCTGTATTCCATGTGTTTGTCTGTATATTTGAATTTCCAGATAAGGATACTGAACCCTGTGCTTAGGTTAACAAAGCTACTTGATTTTCTTCCCTTACAACTTAGATTTGACCTGTTATGATGTACAGAGTATGCATGAATGTGCATAAAAACTGACACTTGGAAATAAACAGGCCTATGGAAAAAACCTTGAGTTTCCTGGAGTTCGGTTAAAGCCCCGTCTCACCGAGGATGGGAGGGCAATGGGTCCTCTACTCACCGCTTCTACCTCCTTCAGCACTTTGTGTTTAAGACTGAGGTCCTCAAAAACGGCTTCAATCACCATGTCAGTCTTTTCAAAACCCTTGTAATCAAGCTGCCCAGTCAAGTTGCTGAAAATGGAGTCTCTTTCAAATGATGTTAGGGCTTTCTTCTTCACTTTATCATTCAGCCTAGGAGAAACACGTATTTAGTGCAAGTGACCAGGAGCTAGGAAACTGCCATTACTGACTGTCCATGGGCCAAACAGTTCTGAGGTTTTTGCCAGTTCTGTGAGGGAGCCACTAGCCTTCCATTTTGAGGAAGGTGAGTTGCTCAAAGAGGCTCAGAGGCAGTGGTGGTCAAACAGCTAGCTAAGGAGGGGACTAGACTCCAAGGACAGGCTTATCTTCAAGATCCCATTCTTTCTACTATAAGATCCTCTAACTGCTGAACTTATATAAGTGGTAACACTCATGAAACAGTTTCAGTTGCCAAGAGGAGAAATACAAACACCAGAGAGCAGCCACAGAGCAGCTCAGGCTACTCTCTACCTACAACAGGGGAAGCAGCCAACATATGTCCTGGCCACATAGAATCTGACCTGCTCACCTATCATTTATTCTGTTATTCTGGAATTATGAATGTCTAGAGGACAGAGACCAAGTATTTCTTATATTCTTAATCCACTTCCCAGTCAGCATCTAGTAGCACACTGTATCAATTATATGAGATGTTAAGGTTTTTCTTTCCCATAGAGAGCTAAAAAGGATTCCTGCTTCTCACACATTTAACTGAAGGGGCTTTCTTAGGTTTTAATCTGACCACATTTTCAAAATAAATGAATTAGAATTTTCCTCTGAAGGAAGTTTTAAACCCCATTTTCTAATTTCCTTAACCAGAAGAAAACTTAAAGCCACAAGATAAACTGTAAAGAGTATTCAATCAAAGTCTAAAAGGTATGGGTTTACTTCCTGGTTTTTGACAAACATGTCAGCAGTCAGCAGACAAGATGCTTGTCAGAGTTCAAAACACTGTTAGTTGCTCTAATTCTAATACCTAATACTGTCTGAGAGGATAGAAAACATGTATGACCCACTGTCAGCACTGCCGAGAGTCACCAGGGCCTGATGAGTCACCACAGCTGGGCCCAACGGAGATGGAAGGGAAGAAGCTACTTCAGAGCGGCACTTCTCGCGCCAGGGAGCTTTTGAAAGACTCTCTGGGGATGCGTGCGTGCTCGTTCTGGAGTGATGTCATCTCGCATATACTGCTTTTCTGTACTACTCCTTGCTATTTTACCAGTCTAACTGGCACCATGATTAAATCTTCCAGGTCCTGGATAGCATTATGCTGGCAATCTATGAGCTTCTCTGAAGAAAGGTGTTAAAAATAGACTGAAACTACAAACCCATTTAAGAAACAAACAAGCTCACTTAGATAAATGCCACACACCAGGCAATCTCAGTAGCCGGCTTGTCCTTACAGTGGAGCAGAGAACTGAGCTTAAACGCATTAATTCCCTATTTGCTAAGTCGCTGCTCAGTGTCTGTGTTAACAGGCACGTGGGGGCGGGGGGAGAATGGGTCAGCAGGCAGAAGGGGAGTATTCACCCCTCATTAATTCAGAGACACAGTCTGTAAAACCTGACACTGGCACCAAACCAGCCAACTGCTTCTCTACAGTAATAGAAATAACCAGGAGAAATAACCAGGTTCTGAAGCTTTGTGCACAGCCCCACAGCAGCAAGCAGCCCTCTTACATCCTAATCTCAGCTCTCTCCAGAGAGACAAAAGACATGCTGCCTCAGCATTTCAAAATATTATAACCATTAAATGGAAATGATCAAAATTCACAAACACGAGAAATTCTAATTTGATATGAAAGGTAAGATAAATGGCATTTCAAAATGTCTAACAGATAGTTTTTCTTCCATACCTAAAGACTACAGACTCCAATGGATGCTAATAGTTTATAATATCTGTAACAAAATGAAGAGAGGGAAGGAATTAGTGGATCTAAAAACCAAAGAAACGGTGGCTCAATGGTGAAGCATACAGCATCGTGCTTAGGAGAAAGACCGGGCAGCGGCGAACACCACTGCTGACTCGTGGCGCAGGCTGGGCGCAGGCTTCTTACCCCTTGAACACTTGTTGCTGCCCTCGGCCCAGCCCGGGCAGTGTGGCATCTTTCAGGATAGTCTTCAGGCCCTTGTCCACAGACACCTGGGCAATGCCGGCCCCCATCAGCCCCGCACCCAGCACGGCGAGGTGCCTGCAAGGGAAGAGTGAGATGAGGTGTCTCTGGGGCGACTCAACCACTAGCAGAGGGGAGGCTGCCCACGCCATCAGTAAGCCAACGAAAGCAGAACGATCAAACCTTTACAATAACTCATCTACAGAATGATACCTTAATAAATGAGTGATTTTCAAATGAAAAAGTCCATAAGGGCTAAAAAACGGCCTGCTCACGAAGATAGAATACTTATTTTCAATCATGCCTGGCGAATAATACAAACATTTATAGGGTGTTATGTTAGTGGAGAAAATGAGAAAACAGGGTAGAGAAATAGAATAGGGACTAAAAAAATATCAAAATAAAATTTTTTGTTTCAAAATGACCTCACAAAATTAAGACACATAAGTAAAGGAAGAAATCTGCAAAGAATATAGCAGACAAAGGATTACTACTTGGGAAATATGAAGATCATGCATTTGGCGATTAAAAAAGACAACCCAGCCAAAGGAACAAGGGCTGGGAAGTGACTCACGAAAGAAGAAAACAATTAAGATGTGTCAGTGCAAATTATGATGTTTTCTTCCCATTAGACTGATAACAATTTAAACAGTACACAATTTTGACAGTGTACAAAAATCAGATCTTTCATGCATGGTTGAAGGAGTATACTTTGCCCTGGCTGGAAAATAAATTGAAGAAAAAAGTAACATCATCTTGAAAATGAAAGTCAATTATAAGGAACACAAAGAAGAGGTCAAGGTGAAAACTTAATAAATTAAACTAGTCCTCCTGTAAGTCCTCAATAGGTTCTTAGAAACTGACTTTAGCTGAGCAACAAGGAAACTGAAGCAAGTTGTCAAGCAACATTTCATTCAGTGCAGACAGATTACTTTTCTCTCCCACTTAATGTTTACTGAGGTAAAGTAGGTTTAATTTTCACATCTGCTTTGGGGGTTTATGGGCTTAAACTTCTACAAATGTCTATCCTCACCCTGTCCAGGCTAGGATAGCTTTTTTGTCAACAAGGTAACATAGAATATTTGCTCCACTCCCAGGAAAGAGGTCTTTCTCTCCTGGTTGCCAGTAACTGCCTCTGCTTCTACCTGTTTCATCCCCCTCCCTTGAGATAACTTGCATTTCTTATCTTTACTTTCTGTTATCATAAATCTTTTTATACAAAAACTGAACTATTTTCCTTTAAACAGCTATTATAAATAAGGTTAGATGCTACATGGTCCACTTTGTGCTCACGGCTTGAATGTTTGAAGACGAGAGGGGTCTTCCTGTACGAGTCCTCTATTTGCTTTTCCCCACTTGTCCCATGGAGACCTGTATATCGGACCATACCAGTTTACAGACCTTTTAGGCTTTACAGATAGACTGATAGAATACTTCCAATTTTTCGATACTACTAACACTGTGCATAATGCACAGTGTAGATAAAGAGAAGATAAAGAGAAGAGTAGATAAAGAGAAGTGGCATTAGTAGGTTTTAAGAGTATACTGTTTTTGGTATTTTGGAATGTAATCTCACTGCAGGTAATGAGATGGGAAGGTGGTAACATTAGTTTCTATCAAGTTTCTATCTTATAGAAATTCATTTAGAACAGTTTCTCAACTTCAGAACTGCTGACAGTTTGGGCTACATAATTCTTAGCTGTGCATTATAGGACGTGTGTGGCATTCTTGGACCCTACACTAGATGCCAGCAGCACCCTTCCGCAGTTGGGGCATATTCCCAGACATTATCCATTGTTCCCTAGGGTCCCGCACTGTCAGGCTGAAAACCAATGAATGAGGAGGTGAGTTTAGAAGCATTATTTAACTTCCAATGCTGAAGAACCACTTAGGCAGCATAACATGAAAAAGCAGGCAGAATTGAGGTTGTAAGCTAGCAAGACAAGAAAGTCTCTACGGGGCCACAGAACTCTGGAAGTAGAAGTTCTCGGTAGGGGCAGGGATCAGTGTGCTCACGACGGCAGAGGTGTACACCAAGTCTGAAGATAATCTAATTATGTAGCTCTTCGAAGATACCAACAGGCTTTACTCAGTTAAATCCACGAGGGCTTCCTAGGTAGAATTTAACTTACTTAACCTCCTTCTGCGGATTTCCAAATTTATTCTTCTTGCACAGGACTTGACCATGGTAAAGTCCCATCAAGGCCTTTGATTCGTTGGTCATTGCAAGCTCTCCAAATTTCTGAAAAGTAAAGGGGGAAGAGAGAAGGTTGAACTTCACTGCCTCTGCAACGGGATCCCCTCAGAGCAGAGCGAGGGAAGCCTCGCTGCCTCCAGGCCTCTGTGGCGTGTGCCGCACAGGTCTGTTCCCACTGGCTTCTTTCTTTACTACTTTGAGACACATTCTGGATAAACTGAACTCTCAGATTCACTCCCCCAGACACGGTAGCTTTTCCCACAGGATTAATGAACTAATTTGTTCAATATAAAGATGGAAGAGAAGGCCCCGAGAAGCCAAGTACCCTTACTCAGAGCCACACTGTCTGGAAGTGTTAGAGACAGACCTGAACCCAGGCAGCAGGCTCCCTGCTCCCCGCACTGGGGCGGGCTGCCACACGAGACACCTGCCACTTGAGCTAGCCCCTTAACTCCAGGGAGAACAGGTCTCTACTTAGTGTTGGGAGCATGAGATTTAAAGTGTGGGCTTGACAGAACTGGGCTTGAATCCTGACTTTCAATTCCTAGTTTTGAAGCTTTTTTAAAATGGGAAAAACAACACCTATTACTGAGGGAACAAATGAAAATTCTAGTACAACTAGGGTTGTAATAGTTACCATCATCACTATTACTAGAATTTACTGGTACATTCACATGGTGCAAGTGAAACAACATTATAATCTTGATGAAGCAGATTCCAGTCCATAACACAACAATTTTTTAAACTATGGGTAGTCAGTGGTCAGGAATTTGGTGGGCTGTGATAAGAACAGACAGAAATACTAAAGATAATGGACACCGTGGGGACAACTACTGGTTCGTGACACGTGCTTCTTTCTGTACGCTGCACATTTTTGAGCACTGTCATAAGCAATCTAACACATAAAATGTTTTCTCTGAGACTTTCTCTCGAGATTTTCAGATATATTTGTTTGTTTGACTGTCAAAGACCAAGCATTCTTCAAAGATTGCTTGAAACTGTAAAACAATCCAAACCACTGAATCTACAATAACAAATCTACAACCAATGCTGAGGCTGGTTAACACATCTCCTCTCTTCCTTTCTTAGTGGATACAAAACATTTCCTTTCATTTTCCTAATTCATCAAAGAGAGGTTGGGTTTCAAAGTGTTTTCTCTAAGCACTAACAAGAAAAACATTTTTTCTTTTTCTAGCACCTAAATTTATTTAATTTGGACAATATACACTTCCTCCCCCAGGTGTGGTCACTGTTGTTCTCCCACTACCAAGGCCACAGTCCATCACCCTACGCTCCGTGCTCTGCCCCCACCCTGTGTTCACCTCCCCGCCCCATCCCCCCAGATGCTTCATATCTGTGGCTAGCTAAGTGAAGTCAGAAGGAAAAGGGTGAGTATCAGATGTTTTCACTTGTATGTGGACCATAGGAAAACCAAAGGGTCAAAATAAACCCTGAAAGCTGACCACTGATGTGAAAAAAATGTTTTTCTATAAATGTGTTAATTTTATCACAACAAAACCAGTCTATAACTATAGAACAGACACATCCAAATGATTCATTTTTGAAAGCATCCTAACTCTGCCCTTGCTCAATTAGTTATACCCTCCTTATTGAGAGTAAGACCAAGTATCTTCAGATCACTGGGGTGCTCTCAGCATCTAGTGGCTCACTAAAGTTAACCCCAAATAATGAAAGTACTAGAATACAACTTTTTTTTACTACTTTGGATACATTGCCCCCCCCCCCCCATTGGCTTTCTACAGAGTTTTCAGATCTTGGTTCTTCTTTTTTTTAAAAGATTTATTTATTTATGCATACAGAACTGGGGCACAGGCCAGAAGTGCCTGGGTGGTGAGAGGCTTCACCAGAGACAGAGTGGGGAGCAGAACAGGCCAACTGACAAAGTACACTGCTGAGGGGAGCAGTTGGCGAGACAGGAGAGGTCTGCCATGCCATGTGGGTCAGCTCCCTGGCTGGGGATCGAACTCTCCACAGGGCCTGGCCATAGACTGATAGTGCTGAGACTTTAACTCCTGTGCCACCAGGAGGCCCCATGGTTCTCCTTTATATAGTTGTAAAAAATTGTAAGAAAATAACTTTACCTGAGATTCAGAGAGGTAGCCAGCATCACTCCCTTGCTCTAGTCCCGTCTTTACCACCTAGAAAACATACAGAGGACATTGTTCTTTGTTGGAACAGACTGGTGAGATGGGCAGTAATGCTGAATGCTATTGTTGGTCTTCAAAGAGCAAGTCAACTGTTTAGATAAGATAGAGAAGAGGGCTGCAGTTGCTCAAGACTGACTTAACTGTCCATCTTTGAAGCTACTGTAAACAGCATAAAATGGAAAGAGATAAATAGAAGAGAATCAAAAATTTAGAATAGAAAAACAAAGTGGTCCCACAGCTCAAACACTTCCTCTTTTTTTTTTTTTTTTAAAGATTTATTTATTTATGCATACAGAGCTGGGGTATAGGCCAGAGCTGAGGGGCGGTGAGAGGATTCACCAGAGACAGGAGAGGTCTGCTGTGCCACGTGGTCACCTCCGGCCTGGGACCAACTGGCACTGAAGAGAAAGCTGTGCTTTAACCCTTGTGCCACCAGGGAGCGCCCCAAACCCTCTTTATCTTCCTCTTTATCTGCCTCTACTTCTCCTGTTTTTTATCAGAGAAAGAAATATTATCCTGTTCCATGTGTTAGTGAACACCTTTTCCTCTTAATCACCTTCATTCTGTTTAAATTACTTTCCCAGTTTTTTCCCTGTTCTCCAAATGTAATTAGCTCCCCAAAGTTCAACTTTCAGTTCTTTCTCCCTCTAAATTTTCATTCATCTTCTCACATACCATCTAGTTTATCACACGAATCATGAACTCTATAAAATTCAACTTAACAGTTGGCATAAATAGTAGCCTAAGTCTAAGGCCAACTATAAGTAATAAAGGAAAGACCATGGACTTACTCACCATAATTTATGGGAATGACAAAATTTTTAAATTCCCAACAAAGAGATGTGTATCCTTAATTAACTTCTAACAACTGTTGCTTAATTTCTTGAAATATCTAAACCTCCACACTTCCAAACTTATTTCATAATCTCTCTTGGACAAGTTATCTCAGGGTCTTATTCAGATTGTAAGTCTGAATAATAGCTTCCTATTTCATTGTCCTTCTATCTTTCTAATTAAATTTTACTCACAACCATGAAAATGGTTCTCTATGATCCATATACAACAAGAGTCAAATTTCCTAATTTATTGAAAACCTTTTCAAAACCTTACTTCAGTTTACCCTCGGCAGACATTTTACTACCTCCTACAAAAAACTGGCATCATTAAATGTTCCTTTCAGAGCTTCATGCTTTCCAGCTACTCTACCTTTGCTCAGAAATTTTGCCTGACATTGTCTTGTCTTCAGATTCTTTATCCATTCTTCAAGGTTTAGGTCAAACTCCATGAGCCTCTTCCTGGTCTCTGGCTCTGTGATTATTCTCTTCCCCAAGGACTTAGCCACTTTCTCTGTCCAATTAGCTGGCATTAGTCCTGTGTTGCCATATAATGGTCCTTATACTATACCTGCTTTACCTTAGATGTTTAATTTCGTTGGTCCAGACTGTGAGAAAAATGGAGGTAGAGAAAGATGTTTCAGATTGTATGTATTTTGCTATCTGCTGCTGAAAGTATTGGTTGTGACTCATTTTCCAGTTCTGAACTCTTTGATTTATATGCTCTCTTAATTTTGGATCTTCTAGACTGAAGAGTTGTAAGTTTTGTTTTTTTTTTTTTAAGATTTATTTATTTGTGCATACAGAACTGGGGTACAGGCCAGAGACTCAGGGGCAGCGAGAGGCTTCACCAGAGACAGAGCGGGGAACAGAACAGGCAGATCGATGAAGTACACTGCTGAGGGGAGCTGCGGGCGGGTCAGGAGAGGTCTGCCACACCATGTGGTCACCTCCGGGGCAGGCGGGAATCGAACTCATGCAGAAGCAGCTTTAGATTCTCAGTGCTGTGCTTTAACCCGCTGCGCCACCAGGGAGGGCCAGAGTTGTAAGTTTTAAAGGCTTCCTTTAGACAGAAGTTTCTTCAACCCTGTGATCATTTCGATTATTCTCATTGATCTTTTACAGATTACTCTAAATTATCACCTCTTTTTAGAAATTATGGCAACGGGGAAGTCAGTTAAGACAGTGTCACTTGGACAGTGACAGTGGTTTTGACTAAGGTCAAACACAGCAGATCCTTGAATGACATCATTTAGTTGGGCCGGGGCGCCTGACATTGTTCCAGGACCTGCTTTCATTATTTGTCACTTTACCTATAACTATTGACACTTAATGAATATTTATTGTACAGTAATCAATTTTGCTTCAACAACTTCCCAGTAAATAGTTTACTGACCTTGTCACACCGATGTATTAATAATACAGGTTCCTTTTCTGGTTTTTGTTCATTTTAAATTCACCAACTACTTATTATAATTCTCACTAGTTATCCCCAAATATATCAATTTATATGAGCCCTTATATACCTTTCCTCACTATTGATAAATACTTTCATAGCAGACTTAAGAGTTTTAGTATGAGTATACAAGGTCCAAATGGCACTAAAGAGTTTTGCACTAGACAGAGAGAGATCTGAGGAGTGTGGAGTGTAAAGACTCCGGAGGGTAGAGTCAAGACTCACATCAATTATTTTCAGAGGTGCAGGATAAAGGCCTTTGGTCTGCTTTCGTACTGTTTCTTCCACCTTTTTATAAATCTGTTGCCTGACAAATGGAATATTCATGGCGTACGATGTCAATTCTGCAAGGTAAAATGCTTTTAGAAACTTATTGGAAAGAACCTAGCCCTCTGTTTGTTTTGTAAACTCCATTAAAATGCAGTAATTCTAGTTATTGGAAAGACCTGCTTTTTATTCTGACATGCAAAATTTCTAAATTTTACTCTAATTTCTAATTTTACTTTAAACATGGTTTCATTACTTGATACATACTAATGCTAGGCAATGGATACTACTCTTGTATTAATGTTTAAATCTTACAAAGTTAAACATTTTCTTAAAACAGGGTTAGTTATAGGACTTAACTACAGAACAGAACTGGTGTAGCTCTTAGGGTTAACTTATACACAAATGATGCATTTACTGCTTCCTCACCTGAAACTTGTAACAAATAAAATTAAATTCCCTGGAAAAAAGCTCTCCCTTTGGTGTTATTTTTGTTTGTTTGTAGAGAGGTTTAAACTATCTTTGGTGGAAGAGTGATTTTTCTTTATCAGAGTGAAGGAAGTATTCTCTCTCCCCAGGTAGCTAAGACGAATCAACAGTAAATGTTTGCAGTGTAACCTAAAATGTGCCCTGGGAAGTACTCAGAAGACAGCCTTGGCTGAGAGCGCACTTCAAGCCAGCTGCATAATGGAGATCAGGTATATTAGGTGTTAGCCTAACTGACATGAAATGCCTGTGCTTGGAAATGAAAAGGATGCAGAGCACAGAACCAGGATCAAAGCGGTTTGCATCTCTTATTTCTTCCTCATCATTGTTACTTTCTGCATTACTAGGCTTGTGGATTGATGGCTAACATTGCCCACTGTATATATGTTACTTAAGTTTTGTAACTGCAAGGAAAATAGGAGTCTGCTTGGTCTCCTTATATATATTGGTTGGTTTAATCTGGTCTACTTCTAGCTTGTTAATTGTAAACTGATCAGTAATATTTGGATTCTGGCGTTTGTGCTTTAAAAATGACACTCACTTTCTATCAATCCCTTGTCTCTCTTTGGAGAGATTTTCTTATCAGCTAATCCTTTGGCAAAAGTAACTGCAACTTCTTCTAGGTATTCAATTGTCCGTTCATCTGCAGGTTTTAAGCCTGGTCCTGCAAAAAACACAATGAAATGTAAATCAGGCTTACGTCAATCACAGGTAGGAAAACACTTAGGTATGCCAGAGCCAGAGACTCAATGCCCACTCTCAGCAGTTTTCTTTTCAGACCAGAGACTGGGATATGAAGTCACTAACTATGGATACAGAAGAGAAGTAATACTGAGCATCTGAACATGCTCTCTAGGTAGAAAATGAGGGCTTAACTGTGTACCAGTCTGGCTTCCACTTCTGAGTAGGAGACATATAATTTTTACAGCCTGTATTCTTGCTGTAAAAATTAGGAAAAACTTGCAAAACCACATTTGTAAAGACAGCAGAGAGCTGTGGAAGCAAAAAGGACAACATGAACGAAAATTCCAGCACCTGCTGGAGGTGACCGGATGATTTCTGGACAGTTTCTTTTCTAGGAATATATGATGTTTTTGGGCACACATTGGACCTGGATCAAGCAGAAGGATGAGAGTGGGGGAAAGTGAGAGGAGCTGTTTTTGATTGTCACATACAAGAGGTTAAACGCTAGAAGAATTCAATGCAAAGTTACCCCATGGGGCATTTGTGGAGTTCTAAGGGTGTAGGAGGCTGGAGAGGCTAGGTGAGAAAGGTGGAGTGAATAGCTTTTAGTGTCATAATATTTAATATACAAAGCACTTCTACAGCAATAAGGATATGCCAAAATATGCAACTGATTTCCTATTCAAGGTATTTGCCAGATACTGAGCCTGTGTGAGATAGGAGACTTAAGAACAAGACTGTAAAATTCAAAGAATAAATTTCTAAGGCTGTGAAAACAGACAACCTACCAAGCTCTTAATCAGAAGCCTGGAGGAGCCACACCAGAGGAAGAGGTGGCTGGGGCTCAAAAAGGCAATCTTGCACAGTCTGGTGATACTTAGGGGAAAATTCTGATGGAGGAAGGAGTTTACAGTAAATATGCAACCAATCACTCCCTAAGACATCTGCCCCATTTTGAACCTATTTAGGGGAGGCAGAAAAAGAACTAAGCCCAAACCTTCTGAACACAACAGTGCATAGGGTCCATGCAGCCTGCAGGGAGGTCATGGAGACTGGAATTTGCGGGCTCGAATATTACAGAGCAGTTCCTAATATCCAAGAGGTAGAGGAGAGCTCTCGGTAGCTCTAGAAGGGCCCCTCAAAACTCTTGGTCTTGCACACACAAAACTACAGGCATGATAAAAGCATTCAAAGAATCAAGAAAGAGATACCTATTGCCAGGAACAAATTGTCTGATAGAAACAGATGAAGAAATGGAAAGATATAGTTGGCAAACACAGTATTAGAAAGGCTATATTGTGAACTCATGCCAAAGTAGAGGAAAATGGAAACATAATAAAGAGAAATTGAAGACATATCAGGGAATGTTATTTCTCAAAACAAAAACCAAAACATGAAACACACAGGACTGGATTAACAGCAGATTGTAACAATGAAGATCAGGAAACTTGAATTCATGGCAGAAGAAAATATATAGAACAGTATTTAAATTACAGGAAAGAGTAATTTCACCCAAGGCCTTTGTATTATCTTCAGAGCATTTTCAGTTGTATGTAGAATAGCTACTTCATGTTAGGGGAAGTTCAATATGTCTGTATTGTCTTTATTTGGAGATTTAGGACAACATAACAATACATGCAGAAGCTGACAAATGGTGGGGTGTATCAGCCCCCCACCTGTTGTGTTGATCCAATGAGGCTACAGTTCCTGGTACCAAATAAACACTACTTCAGGTGTTACTGGGTGCTAGTTGGTAGATAGCTACATAGTCAGATGACTTTAGCTGAGGAAGATCGCCCCCAAATCATCTGGGTTATCTTAATTTAGTCAGGTGAAAGGCATGAAACACAGAGCTGAGCTTAGCACTCTCTCAAAAACTGACAGGACAAGAACCCACAGGGACATAGAAGATTTAAATAACTTTGTCAGCTGGCTTGACTTAAAATTTATATGGCCCTTTACAGAACAGTCTACCCAACAATAGTAAAACATATTTAGTGCCTTGGGAACATTCACCAAAGCAGCTCACAGTCTGGGTGTAAGACAAATCTTAATAAACTTTAAAATTATTAAAATCATACAAGCAAGGATACCTTATTCTTGTTATTCACAGTAGTTATAGTTTAAAAAGTCACCACAAAAAAAACTGAATTAAAGAATACTGAACTATTGTATGAATAGATGCAATTATTCTTCTCAGGTTGGTTTTTCATTTTATATTATTAAAAAAAAAACCCCACAAAACTTGAAGGAGGGTTCTTAAGGATAATGTTAAAATTATCCTTATATGGATAATGTTAAAATTATCCTTTTATATATCCAATATATGACTTGAATGATATATTGATTACTCTTGATGTACAGAGTAATATTTTATAGAGTAAAATAGAAATTAGGGCATTATTGGAAATGGCTTTGTTAATTATTTTAGGAAATTCACTCTTACATAGTGATGACTTGTTTCTTAAGAGCATGAGTTTCTATCTAATCAATATTCAACATAGTAACTCTTTTGAAAAATAACTTCATAAGGCCCAACTGGAAGGCATGCTAATACTTACCCAGCGGGTCCACCAATTGGTCAACTAGCCCCATTTTTTTGGCTCTATCTGCGCGAATGTTTCTACCAGTTAGCATCATGTCAAAAGCAGCAGGCACACCTACCTAGTGTGCAAACAAGGATCAGAGGACAGGAGAAAAAATTCAGTGGCCGTTAAACACCACGAATCACTCAATGAACAAAATAAATATTAAAATAACAAAAGTCAAATCACATTTTTGTGCTATTTATCAATCAGTTAAATTTTACATGTCAGTATACATTTAAGTAACTTTTGGGATTATAAACCTCTAGCTAAAGCAAAAATGTCTATTTCTCTTAATTCAGTTCATAGAATTTCTGTCTTGGGGACTTGATAAAGTGGAGAAATAATTTCTGGTTTACTAAAATTGCTCACTTATGTCATTCTGAGTTACTTTTCTATCACTTCTATAATATTTAAAAACTCTATATTTGAACTAGTGGGGACTCTGAGGAACCTGACAGGTATGATAATGCCTTAGAAAGACTTTTAGGTTTAACAAAAATAGAATTCAACTAAGGTATTTTATATAAAGAAAAATGGCATCTAGCAACACTCAAATGCTAACTATAAAACAAGAAATTCAGTAAATATTTTTATATACATACATACTTATTCATTCTCTCAAAAAATCCTCTTGATAACCCCCATGAAAGGAAGCACATTATTATCAGAAAACTAAGAGTTCCTTTTCTTTCTGTGGCCAGTTTATATCAACTCTCCTCCAAAGAGCATTTCTGCTAATTTGTAATTCCACTGAAAAATCAAGAAATTATGAGATTCGTAATTTCCCTCATTTGATATTAACATTGTTCTGTAGTCTCCATTTCTGATTATTTCCCCACTCTTTAAGAATCCAAACGTCTGGACCTCCTTTGGCTTTACAGAATTCTGCAGAGATTGTCTAAGTCAGACAATGTTTGTCTATCACAAAACATCGCCCAAGGATTTGATAAACTGGTTAGATGATACCGTGCAGAAAAGGAACAAATTAAACTATGAGAAAGCCAGGCAATTATTTATCTTTTCCCTTCTTCAAGGACCAACAAAGGATTTTGATCAAGGAATTGAAGAGAAAGTAGTAGTGGAAAAATAAACACATGGAATAGAAATTTGTCATTTAACTTATGTAACTACATCTTATTTTGTTTCCGAATTCCACAAGGAAAACTTATGTTCTGTATTTCGTGTAAGAGGGAACAGCTCTAAAGGAGCATACAGGGACTGAGGTTCTCAAGTTCATGGGGGTCTGAAACTCACCATTTTGGGCAGCCTTTGTGTGCCGCCTGCTCCTGGCAAGATCCCCAGCAAGACTTCAGGGGCACCTAATACTGTTTTTTTATCTTTTGTTGCTATTCTGTATTGGCATGAAATGGCAAGCTTCAAAAAAAATGAAAGAAAATTACAATATTAGGAAATGTAACATTATAAGCTCTTAGGATGTAAGGCCAAAAGAGTTATAAAGCAATATGCCCACAGGACAAACTAAAATTCTTTAGGTTGGCATTTGATGCTTTCCACAATTTACCTTCTTATTCACACTTCTCCCTTGGTTTATTGGCATCTTTTTGGGTTGCAGATCTCCTTAAAAGCTGCTGAACATTGTAGAAGCTCTCACTAGAAAAATGTACAGTTGTACCCTAGGCTAAACTGTACCTTATAGAATCTTCTTTTCAACCAAGCAGGCCCACTCATGGAGTGCTAGTAAGTGCTGCTAATCCCCCTCTTTGCTAACACCACATGAAATATTCTTTCCTCATCCTCCCCACCCACTGGCTAATCCCATCTTTCAAGACCAGGCACAAGTTTCTTTAATATATATGAAAGTGTCTAGCATGGAGCCCAGTATGTGATAAATGCTCAATAAATGTTAATTTTTTTCTCCTGCCTTTTTCCTATATGTTCCAGACTAGAAGGCCTCTCTTCTCTAGATCTCAAATTATGTACTATTTTTGCTACTCACAAAGCACTTAAATGTATATTATACTTTGTGTTTCTCAACTGGATTTACATGGGTTAAGAATATGGATCACACTTCTGAAAAAGGGTTAAAACCTAACCAGAAGTTTGAAAACGAAAAAGAATGCTAATTCTATTTCAACAGAAACTTCATTCACAAAATTTAAAAGCAGCATAAAGGCCTATAGCTGGTGAGTCCCATCAGGCGTTAGTGTCTCAGTGACTTTGGGGTATCTGTACCTCAAGTCCTCCTCCCAAGCAGGATCCACTGATGGCAGCCACAATGGGCTTTGGGGATTTCTCAAGTTTCTCAAACATCTTTTGTCCTTCCTGTGATACTTGTGATACTTCCTGAGCATTCTTGCAAGCAGATAACATGCTGAAGTATCCATGAAAATAGAGAAGAGGGAAAAAACAAAGATGAAACTATAACCTCCTTTGCTTAATACCTAATCCATTATATCCTTATTCTGTCATATATCAATATGTGGTAGTGAGTTTTCACGTCAGAAGTTTAAGAATAGTCTTGCCTCCAACAGCACTAATGTCGGCAACCTCATCTCTTTTTACAAAAAGTATTAACTTTCTGCAATCAGAGAACATGAAACAAAACATTTGCATTATTTACTATTATTTACTATAACTATTGAGCTTTGTACATGAGGAGATAATCTTGTGGTAAATATTATCACTATCAGACTAAACATTTTCACTATCAGGTATCTAACAGGTTAAAAAGCAATCACAAGGACAAAAAAAGTTTCCAGGGGGCCTGAAACCTTTAAATAGACCTGCTAAAATAATAAAGTACTCAGCATCCTTTAATTTGAATTTGTTTCATTTGTTTTAGTTTGTTTCATTTCTGAACACATCCATGGTGCAGATTTTGTACTGCTGATCAAATGTAATTCTCCTGTCATGTAATATGCTGGGAGTTGCTCAATTAGCCTCATAAAAGCTGTATGTGTTTTTCTTTGGATATAGGTGGATACTGCCAGGCCCATCACTGTCTGGCTGAAGCTCAAATAATCAAGTTAGAAGAAAAAGCACTTGATAGAGATAGTTTTGTTTTTTTCTAAAACAAACAAACATTAAATGAACAATTAGAAACATAAATTCCTATTTACTGTACAAAGAGTGGGTAAAATCTGGAGCCAGGTTTGAAAATACACACTTTAAATATAAATTACAAAATAAGCCTGCAGTGCTGACTACCACTGCTTAAAGTAAAAGGAATATAATAAATACTCATATTTGGACTGAACTAATGACTGTTAACATTTTAACACATTAAAATAACACTAAAATATCATTTTTCCTTGTATGTGCTTTTAAACAAAAGTATAAACAAATTTTATAAGCCTACATTCTATCATTTAAAAAAGTTGCACCTAAAAGTTCCATTTGATGACCTTCTCTAGTCCTATAGCTCACTTCATTTTCCTGCAGCAACCATTTTCATATATTTGAAATGTATCCTTCCAGAGGAACAACGTATTGTATCTATAGACACCATAGAGAAGCATTCATATATGTTTTAAAACATTCACATACAATACATACTATATAAAACATTCTGTAATTTGCTTTTTTAAAAAATGACGTATTTTGAGCTCTAATCTTATACTATAGATCTAATTAACTCCTTTGTTTCACAACATTTTATCCTGTGGCTATTTCACACTTCATTTATCCGTTACCATACTAACTGAAGAGGAGTTTGTTTCAGTTGTTCACTATTCTAATTATAAAGGATGGAACACCCTTGATCTGGAGCCTTATAACAAAGAGTAGACTTTCTCCAGCATACACATCCAGAGGTGGTTTTGCTGGGCCATGTGATATATTATACCTACATTCAACTGCTGACAAATTGCTTCTAAAGTGGTTAAACTAACTGGCATTCCTATAAATATTTCTCACTTCCCCAAGTCCTTAGTGACATGATATTTTCAAACTTTTTAATGGCTTGATGGGTCAAAAATGGCACCTCATAGTTGATTTTATAGTAATTTAAAAGCTGTAATCAAATCTTTCCTTGAACTGCTTTCAATTTCTATAAGGAAAGGCTGTATTTAGTCTTATATGGTTTAAGAAACAAGCACTTCTACTTTATCATACTCATGTAAATTAAAAAAAACTTCCAGAGAATTTATTTAGGAGAATGACTAGATCTAAGAAGAATACTATTAGTCAACATAAAAAAGTGACTTCAAATGTCCTGAAACTTACTTGATATCAGCACCTGCAATGAAGCATCCAGGCTTTGATGAGATAAGGACAGCACTTCTGATTTGATCACTGGCCCAGATTTCATTCATTACTTCTACAAACTCTGACTGCAGTTCTTTATTCAGAGTATTTACCTGCCAGAGGTAAACACATGTATACAGACATATATAACTCTGGGAATTTAAATTTGAAGTACCACGTGTAGCATAACATGTGACTGTAAGAAATACATTTTCCCAGCGGAAATACACTCTTAGAAAAAAGGGAGATAGAGGAAAAAGGTCAAAACCCACAAGCATGCTCCTCAGGCAGCTTGTCAACTGTAAGCACATCTCCCTTTAAAAATAGTTCTATTCAAAGGAGGATTGCTCAGGGTCACATTCCTCAGAGTCTGAAGCATATGTAAGCTATAAATAAGTCTACAAACACTTATTGGCATGGGGAAAATGTGTATAACATTTGTAAAAAGAGGAATTAAAATGATACCTATAGTATCGTTTTATAGATATCATTTGTAAAATAGGATTAAATGTTGAAAGTGGTCATTTATTGATTTGGACTATGAATGATTGCTCAAAATTTTATAAGCAAATTTCCTACCAGAGGTATATGCTACTTGTGTTCAGGAAAAATGTTCTTAAGAAAATTCTGAAAAAAAGAAATCTAAATTTGATCCACTGGTCAGTGGTTCCAAGATTTACTCTAGGAAGGAAAAAGACTCTTATTTTCCCTAATCTGTGATAGGTTTGACTGCTGTCATCTAGGTCCTCCAATTTATCTGGGCATCTGTTACAATATTTCTGAAGCAGGAAACCTTAACACCAATTCCATGTGATTGGTGGGGTGGGGGTGGGGGGTGAAGCATGTATTCTTGTAGTAAAGCTCAAAAGACAAAAAACATACAAAAAAAGACTGAATTAATGCTGCATGCTTTGTTGAAGTTACCAGAAACAAATAAAGCTCCAATCTGAACAGAACTTGACTTCTAAAGTGTGACCTGCACGAGTCGTTCAGATCCCTCAGGAAGCTTAAGGGACAACCGCCCACTGTTGCGCCACTCAACGTACAACAAATAATGGCAGGTAGTGAAGAAAGCAGACTGAATAATCTCATATTTGAGGAATTCTGATTCTTACAACAAAGAGTGTATCTTGGTTCTCATCCACTAACTATAGTCTAACTAAAGGCTAGTGTTATCAGCCTTTGATATTAATCTCACAACTAAAGTTAACAAGGATCTCTGCTGCAGAAAACTGGCTTCTTTGGGCAGTTTGTCAAACTCTAACTATCAAAATTATAAGATCATATGATAAAATTATTGACAGATTGGTGAACTTATTTCTTTCTTATTAGGACTGCATTCAAGAATGTAGTTAGCAGAAATAAACCTCTGCACATTAAATGATGTACCTTTGAATTGGGTGAGTTAATTCGAACAACTGCCACATCCCCTTTGACTCCATAGTTAATATGGGTTCTGGCTAAAAAGAAAAGACACATTTATTTGTAAACATATTTATTGCTAAGTAAATCTAAAAAGCAATGCAAGCATGTCAATGAAAAACTAAACTTACGGGACCCTCCCGGGTGGTGCAATGGGTTAAAGGACAGCACTATAAAGCTATCCCGTAGCCACTATAGCACCAAATTTGATCCCCCACCTGGGAGCTGACCTATATGGCACAGCAGACCTCTCCTAATGCCCGCTGCTCCCCTCAGCAGTGTATTTCAGTACATCTGCCTGTTCTGTTCTCCACTCTATCTCTGGTGAACCCTTTCATCTCCGTGTACCTCTGGCTTGTACCCCAGTTCTTGTATGAACAAATAAATATTAAAAAAAAAAAAACTAAACCTAAACTTACCCCGCAAAGCAGAGGATCCTGTAAAGTTGCGGCAAATGTAACCTATAAGAAAAAGATATTTCAAAATTATTTTACAAAGCAAGAATTTCTGCAGTACCTTTTATACATAGCAAAGCTGAAACTGGTATAAACAAAAAACAAAATTAGAGCAATGTATTTAGGTCATTACTGAGATCACCACCCCATCTTTTTCATTTTGATTATGGGGTCACTTGATTATCTGAATGCTAGATGGATGATCAGTGTCCCACAAATGCCCATGTTCTCAGCAACTGCGCCTGTAGGGCTATGTGGCAAAGGAAGAAGGCTGCAAGTGGGAATGTTCTCTTCACCTTTCTTTCCACCCTTTCTACCCAGTTCTTTAAGAAAATGTCAGAAAAAGGTACAGAAAATAGTAATTTTGCACTAGTTTGAAAGTCTAAGCAGCATATTATTGTAAGAAGCAAACAGTATCAAGACCAGAGCAGGGTGCTCTTTGGTTTTGTCTGTATGTCTACTTCAGGCCATCAGAGCAAAGATAAAGGACCTGAGAGCCAGGACTTGGGTTCAGCCATCAAGTTTATCATTTACCAGTTCTATGACCAGGAGCAATTCTCTTGATACATGTCAGTGTTCTTTAAAGACAGTAATAAGAGTGATGTAATGATTATAAAAGTACATGTAAGCCAAAGTGCTACATCAAGGTAAATTAAGGTAGAAGGCAGTCATCTCCTCAATCCCACCATCTCTACTTCACCAATGGGAGACTGCCCTTCTCTGCTTTCCCATCTTTAATCTCAGTCCTTGCCTCTTACCTGCATCATGGTGCCAACATTTTCCCCAGCGGCACCTTGCAATTGTATCCATAAGGATCTTTCCCAGCTCTCCTCAAATGTTGATCTTTTATTATCCACTGTTTTGTTTTCTAATCATTCTAGCATCTGTGAACAGGTATTTTTCCCAACTAAACTGTAACCTCTTTTAACATATCCTTATGGTCATTCATTCAACAGAACTTAATTGTGGCCTCCAATTGCCATGTGCTGTTCTAGGTACCCGGAGTACATGTGGGTACTTGGTATGAACAGAAAGACAAAAATCTTTGTGGTGCTTATATCCTAAGGCTCTTTGGGAAGAAACAGTTTGTACTCAGTAGCAGTAAATGAAAAAGTAAAACAGACCTGGCATAAAAAGGAGTTTGCCCATAAAGAAAAATTTCCAGTTGGAAGGGAGCCAGGGAATAGCTAATTCTAACTAGAACAGGCTAAGATTAAAGTGGGAATGGACAGATTGGGAATGCAGGGTTGGGGAGATGGGGTTAAAAGACAGATAAAACCTGAGAAAAGTATATAAATAAGTATGTTAGAAGATAAATACTCTAAGCATAAACAAACAAAAGCTGAGGGGGGGCATCTGGGCATGTACTGCAACTTTAAAAACCAAATATCTGAGACAAGTTGGTGCTCATTAGCTTATAGTTTAAGTCATTTTAAACTCTTACCCATTAACCTACTTCTAAACAGACATTAAAACCTCTCCTTTAAATCAACAGAGCAAAAAAGAAAGAAAATCAGTAAATGTACAAACATATTTGAAAAAGAACTCCAAGACGCTGTAAAGTAAAACCAAGTTGGGGTGTAAGGCAGCTTTGCCTTTGGAATCTACCCTTGTCTGCTAGCTACTCAGTAGAGCTTACTTTGGAGCAGTTGGATGAACTTTAGCCTATATCTATTGTGCCAGCAGAGAGAGAAACCTTTCTCCTACTTTTTAGTCATATTAACAACTTAACTCATGAAAATAACTTTAAAGACCCATGGGTGGGGGGTATAGTTAGATTATGCTGACACAAATTGCAAATATGAAAATGTTACTCTGGTTGTAACAACCAATAGCATTTCTCAAGATTCAACTCTGAGGAAAAGGAGAGGATTAAGGAAATGAGAATCAAATTTAAATATGTATCATCTACTACCGTATTTGCCTTTAATCCATTTTTCATGAAACAATTTAACTCCTTATTTAATTAGGGATTTAGATGTAAAGGAGCGGAAATTAAACAAGATATTCTGGTCAATATATCACTTTCATTTGACAGCCACATTCTGAATGCTTAGAAGCTTAAAGCAAGAATGGGTTAAAACTTTAAGAACTACAAATGAGTTTCAAGAGATTTTAATCACCACATAGATAATCTCATCAAATGTTTGACAATACCTTGGACAGAACCTTTTGGGTTAAAGCACTAATCTGTTGAGTCTAAATGTCAGTCCAGGTATGCAGGTAATTTTAAATTCATTGTCAGACATTTTTTCCAAAATGTGTAGTTGTTATTAAAGGGCCAATAACCATAATGAGCTACATTTTCTTACTGGTGAAAAAAATGCAGTCTATATATTTACATGTATATATGTTTCCTTTTTTTTTTTAAAGGAAAACTAAGCTTGTGTTGTTTAACTGTACTTGTAAAATGTAGATATTACTTTAAAAATCCTCAAATATATAGAAGTCATTAGTTCTTTGGGGCTGGAAAGAGTTAATAATAATTCTTTGCATTTATACTGGGCACTTACTTTAGAAAACAAGCCTTTAGAATTAACAAGATGGTACTAACCCCCATTTCAAACGAGAAAAAAAGACACAGAAATTGATTGCCCAAGGTCACTGGAGGGTAAAAGGCAGTCAGATTTAAACCCAGAAGTCAGACTCCACATTAAATGCTTTTTATTGCCTTGTCATACTACTTTTCATGTGAAAGAAAATCCATTGTCTCAATAAATTCATTTTACAGATGAGAAAAATAAGGCTCACTGAAAGTGTTTGTCCAAAGTCACACAACTAGTGGCTAGGACCCAGGAGACCTGACTGCCTGGTTCAGTGTCAGGTTCAGTGCCTGCTAGTCCGTAAGAAGTACCTAAAAACCAATGCGAGGAAAGTTTAAAAAATAATACATTTAATTTTTTTTAAGTGTTGAGCCATACAGGTGGCAAAGAGGAAATAAAACTATTAAGTAACATGACCACAGTACTACCATAGGCATGAGTACTAAGAGAATGGGTGATTCATTTTTCTTAATTCTTTTTAATACTTCAATTTTTTGTAGTATCATCAATTGGAACACAGACATACAAGAGTCCTTTGGAAACTAAAAAAACTGGTCAAAATAAGAAAGAAAAAAAATTTCATCCAAAGCCAATTTTATATTAAAGATGCCAGCCACCTGCCTAAAAAGAGCACAGAGGTTCAGGAGGAGAAAGGCATGTTAATTTCTAATTAAGCAACCGGCATGAAATACAACATACAAAATCGCCATTTCACCTTAACAGAAGAAATGGAAAAATATCCTTGTTCTACAATCACCCACCTACACTCTCTCACTGCCAATTTGAAGAGGAAAAAAGAAAAAGCCAACGCAAATTAACGCGCGTGTCGTCAGCAACACGATTCGAACTACTTCTTAAAAGATTTTATTCCTTAAGACACAGGTGTTTGCGTATTTTTTGTCTCTTTCAGCAAGCTGCAGAATCTCCGCCCGAAACTTAACACACTATACATCCACACCGTGGTTACCGAGACTACAAGAGTTAATTTTCAAGAGACGTGCGGCAAAAATGATTTTGAGGCAAAGAAGCAGGGAGTGGCGGGTTGCAAAGTCGGTTAATTCCATCCGAGGAGGAACTAAGGCAGCTGTTAGGAGAAGGCACTTGCAGCCACACAAGTGGGAGGCTGGCCTGTCTCGGCCTCCAGGACCTCCCGATCTCGGACGGCCAGGTCCAAGGCCATCACTACACAAAACGAGACGGGCAGCGGTCCAGAAGGGCGATGCGAGGCGCGGCAAAGCGCCGGACTCTCGGGACGGGACTGGGGAACGCTCACAGCACCGCTGCGCCTGGGGTCGAGACGCGGCATCTCATTCCCGACCGCTGCACGGACGCCGCGGCCCCCGAGCAGCAACCCCCCCTGCACTTCAGGGCCGGTTCCCCGGGAGGGGCGGTGGCCAAGGGACGGGAAGGCGCGAGGTCGAGGTCACTCGGCTCTCCGCGGGACTTCTGTCCGCGGATCTGGGGCGCCCTCAGCCAAGCCTCACCTCGGCAGCGAAGCGTCCTGGAAGCAGCGAAGCGGCTGAGGCTGCCGATTGCCCGCGAGGCCACCATCTTGAGCGGGAGGACGAAAGTGCTAAGCGCTTCAAGCTGGGGTGGCCGGGCGGAGGACTCGTCTTCTTCTACTCTGGCCCCGGACAGGCGGCCGACTCACCGCCTGACTAAAATTCTCGTGCGGAGTCGCGTCAGGCCCCCGCGCTTCCGGGAAACGGGCGCCAGCGCCTCGGTCCCGTGGGAGGACCGCGCGGGTCGGGCGGGCTGAGCGCTGGACCTTCCAGTCAGGCGGCCGGCGGGCAGCCCGCGACTCCGCGGATGGGCGTGAGGGGGCCTTTCTGGGCAGGACCCGCCCCTGAGTCCCAACGAGTCTTGTCACTTGGACCCTAACTGTGTGGGCAGCCGGAGCCGTCTGGACGCACCTGAGGTGAGAGCGGGAGCCGTCCCACCCGTCCTTCCCCCCGGGATATGCCCGCGCGCCTGTCCCCCCCCGACCGCGGCGGTGCAGCGGCGGCCGCCCGCTCGGGAGAGCCGCGTTCCACGGAGCGGAAGGAGCGTCGCGGACGCGGGCGCCTGTCCCTGCGTGCGGGGCAGTAGCCGCTGGCGGTGTCTGTCCCTCGGGCCACGGCGTCTCCCGTCTGAATGTGTCACCCCAAGTGGGCGCGTTGGCCTGTGTGTGTTGGCTGAACGTGCCGGCCCGCACTGCAGCTTTTGTTGCTGTTGAACGTGTAGCCAGCCCAAAGCCGACAGATGCAGAACTGGGCCAGAGTTTCTCCCGCTCCTGCTGCCAGTGCAGGACTTGGCCCTGCGACCGTTGGGGACTCGAGTGTAGGAGGGGCGTAGGTGTCCCCCGTCAGCGCGGAGAGCCCATTTTGTCAGGGTTTTCTAACCCAAAAGGGGCCTGGCGGGCCTCTCGGCATGCCGTTCCTTCGTTTTTTCGGTGAAGCTCGGAAATCTGAGTGAGGGGTTGAGCCGGTGGCCACAGGTGCCAGACGCGTTACGAGAGCCCACGGTCACGAACTTCTAGTCCAGATCGCTGCATTCAAAGAGAACTGTCTTGGGGCAGGAAAGATGCTGACTCCTGGAATAAGGGAATTGATTACAAAAGGAAGAGGTGTTGAGGGCCCTCCAGGCACTTTGACAGCATCTCCGCCAATGTTCACACTTTATTTGCATTTTCTGGATGTGGTTGGGGAGGTTGGGAGAGTTTTGGCAAGTTTTCTCCAACGGGGCAAAGCTAGGATTCGGACATAAATCTGAGTCTGTACACCAGTTTGACTTCAGAGACAGAGGAAGCTGGAAGGGGCAGAGTAGAGTCACCCACGTTTTATAGATGAGGGTCCTAGGGCAGAGAATGGGTAAATCACTTGCTTAAGGTCATGTCACAAGGATGAAGTCAGGATTTGGATTTTGACAGTCAGACTTTACAATCTGCCTTCAGACTAATGAGGAATATGAAAATTGAGAGGTGGTTTTCTGTGTAAAGTTCAGGTCAAGTAGTGAGTCCTCCATCATTGTTAACACTCTAAAACCAGATGACTAACTAGCTCTTAATTTGTGAAAAGGATTCTTGATGCCCTACACGATCCTCCAAGCCATGAGATTTTTACAGTTCAAAGCTTGTCCCCACGCCATTGCTTTCTTGTGCACCTATTTTGTGCATTCATGATGGCAAACCTTTTCTCTAAATGGCCAGATAACAAGTCGTTCAGGCTTTGTAAACCCACTCTGAGTTTTGTCATTTATTCTGTTTTGCTCTACAACTCTTTAAAAATGTAACAAATGTAGTTAACCAGAAGCCCAAGGAATGTAGTTTGCTAACCCTTCATTTAGACCATCCTCTTAGCTTTTTGTTCCCTGTAGACTCAACGAAATGGTAAATTCTGTCAGGACAGAACAATTGCAATATTTCTTTGATCTTGGACACTTTAGTAAGTACATAGAAGGGGATGATGTCCATTTATACCACTGCCTGCTTTTAATAATAACAAACGTGTATTACCCTTAGTATGGATCAGGCACTGTTCTGAGTGCTTCACATATAGTAGTTCTAGTTCTTCCTCACAACAATCCTATGAGGAAGATACTGGAATTAATCTACATTTTATAGATGAGGGTCCTAGGGCAGAGAAAGGTTAAATCACTTGCTTAAGGTCATGTAACAAGGATGAAGTCAGGATTTGGATTTAGACAGTCTGACTTTACAATCTGCCCTCTTTTAACCATTACACTGTGTCTTAATGAGTTTTTAGAGCTGTTCCAGCTTGCTTAGCCCCTAGCCCATTCTTCTTTCCCCTTGCTCCTGGGTGCTTGCAACTTCACGGATCTTTTCATAGTTCCATACCCTACTCAAGTTTACCCTACCCTAGAGTCTCCAAGCTCCCCAAATCCTTGAGTCAAAATTTCTGGTTTCTAAAGCTTAGTGCAAACTCCTTTGCTTCCTATTTTCAAATCTTTACTTTTTATTACTTACTTATTGTTAAAGGAATATATATATATATATATATAATTTCCCAGCAGCTACAGATAAGTCTAAAATGCATTTATATTCCACCACCCAAAGATAACTACTGTTAACATTTGCTATGTATTTTTCTAGACATTGTTGATGCATTTTTATATATTTGTATAAGATTTTATTATATATAAATTCTAATAAAACTAGTTATAGTATACATAAATAAAATGCTTATTGTAAAAAAATAATTTCAGAAGGCAGAAGAATATAAAATGAAAACCCATCTATATTCTTTCCTCATATATAGTCAATTTTATGTACTTGCCTTGTTTTCTCTCTTTCTGTTATAAAATGGATGCTGTCCCGCAGCTTGCTTTTTCATTTAATATAGTGTCAGTATATACAGGTGATGAAGTATGTTTTATTTTGTTCCAAATTGCTAAACAGTATTCCATGGTGTGTGTGTGTGTGTATACTATAATTTCTTTAACCATTTCCTATTGATGTGCATTTAGATTAGTTCCTGTTTTCCACAAATGTAACCAGTACTGCAGTGAATATTTGGAGTATTTCTGTAGGCTAGAGCTCAATGTAGACTATAAATCAAAGACCATTAAGAAGAATTACTGGGCCCAGAATCCAGAATTCAAATTTTGATCGTTAAAAATTGCCTTCTAAAAAGGCCTTAGCAAGTTGTACTTCTATCAACTGTATATGGAATTGCCTACTTAGATTTATTCCTACTAGACTGGTATATCAATCACAATTTTAATATTTTCCTTTTCTGATAGTCACAAAATTTACCTTATTTTAATTAACTTTTTAAAATTGAGGTTGAACAGTTAAAATTCTGTTGTTTGACATTTTAATTTCTTATTTGACCTTTTGGTCATGTGTCAGGAAAGAACCTTTGGCTGCAAATAATAGAAAATTCTACTCGAATTTGTTTTGAGTGTAGAGCTTGGACTCAGAATGGAAAAATGCTACCAGAGGATGAGTTTCAGATATGATTTAATCGGACAGAGAACGCTATTGTTCTGGTTGGTTTAACCCCTAATGTTGGGTTGGATTCAATCCCATGTAAACCACATATAGCAACTACAGTAGGGAGCAAATTGAATATTGGGGTAAAAAACTAGAGATTTCATTACAGATTATTTCTCTTTTTCTGGAACTTGTAGAAGTTCTTCGTGGAATATGGGTATTAATACCCTTTGTTTTACATGTTAGAAATATTTCTCTGAATGTATTTGCCTTTAAAATTTATTTTAGTATATTTTTCTGTGTAGGTACTATAAACTTTTATATAATTAGGTATTTTTATTGTTCTTTTCTGCTATGGACTTGGGGTTTTATGCCATATGTTTGGGTTTATTCCTTTCCCCATTTTAGAAAGTATTATTGAAATACTTTCTAATGTCTTCTCCTAGTACTTTCATAGTTAAAAAAAAACTACATAAACACTTTGTAGATGAATCCATCTGAAATTTATTTGCACTTATGTTATGAGTTATGGATCTGAATTTTTTTCCAAATGGTTAGCCATTTCCCCAACAAATATATTGAATAATTCACCTTTTTCCTGCTTATTTGGAATGTTACTTTTATACACACTTAAATCATATGCAGCTGTGTATGCAAATTCTGATCTTGCTATATCCTATTCTGTTGACTAATTTTGTTTATATTTTTGTACCAGTGTTGCACTATTTATTACTGGTGATTTATAGAAATTTTTGATACCGGTCAGAGCAAAGTTTCCTTATCAACATTTTGTTGACTATTTTTAAGAATTTTATTTCAAGATGAACTTAAGGGAATTTGTATCCCAGACTTAAAGAGTACATATACAGTCTCTGGAAACAGTGGTAGCCATCTCATGGCCCAATTTGTGTTTCCCTGACCATAATTCCTTGAATATCCCTGGGCAGGGAGCCTTGAGCTTGGATTCTGCTTTCTCTTTCCAATACACGTATTTGGGAAATACAATTCTTTTTTACTTTCTTGAAACCACAAAACATCATCTTTTGAGCCAATGAAGACATAAGAGTAGTTAATCAAAGCTTTAATATAATCTATTACTATATGACAAATTATCCTCACATTTAGCAGTTTAAAACAGTAAGTGTTGTCTCCTGTAGTTTTTGAGGGTTAGAAATGTGGGGGTGACTTAGCTGGATGTTCTAACTTAGATTTGTCATGAAATTGTAGTCAGAATGTTGGCCAGGGCTGCAGCCATCTGAAACCTTGCCAGCGCTGGAGGCACGCTTCCAAACTGCACTGGCATCCTCACCCACATAGCTGGTAGCTGAAGATGCCAGTTCCTGTCCAGGTGCTTTTTGCTCAAGATGTGCTCTCTGGAGGCCAAGATGGAGCCGCAGTATCTCTTAATCTCAAAAGTGACATATAAGCACTTTAGACATAGTTCTGTTGTTTATACAGACCCAACTGTGGTACAGTGTGCGAGGGTTTGCGAGGGTTTCTACAGGAACATGACTACCAAGAGGTGGTTATTGGAGGCATCTTTGGCACTGGCCAACACATATCTTGCATTTCTTTTATGAATGAGACATAGTTGTAGTTTTGACAGTCAGTTGCCAATTTGAGATTGGACATCTCTTCGAATATTTAAGGGCCATTTGTATTTCCGAATACATGTGTCATGCCTTTTGTCCATTTTTTTTGCTTATTTGTAAGAACTCATTGCTTAGTGTGTATTCTTTCAAATACAAACATTCCACAAGGCACTCCGCACAATCATAATATAACCTTCAAAATCAGGAAGTTAACGTTAGTGGCCTTATGACCACTCCCAGCAGTCCTTTCACCCTAGATGAGAACACAAACTCTGCAGCTGGACAGTTGGTAATAGACTAAATTTTACAGTTTTTTATAGTATGTGGATGAAGTTATCAGAGGTCATAAACTATTAAGTCACAAATTATTCAAATAACCTAGGACATTTTTATTCTTTTTCTTTTTAGATTTCAGAATGACTTCCATCTTGACTTATACTTTTAAAAGTATTCCTACTACATCAAAATGGGCTTTGAGATTTTGTAAGTTTAATTTATTCTTTCTATTTTAAGATTTGATTTGATTTGTAAGCATCTTATATAGATTAGATTGATCTTTTAAAACACTTTATTTTGTTTTTCAGCTATAAGATCTCTGAGCTCTTCTTCCCAGCTACGAGCAGCCCCAGGTATAGTAATTTGTAAAGTAAACTTTTCTGATTTAAATGTTAGATTCTATATTTGTGAATTCGGAATAAAAACCAAAACTAATTTGCTTTCCCCTTATGAGTAACATGAATATCATTATTGCCTTCAAATTAAAAATATATAGGACCAATCAGTAATGACATTATATGATGTAAGGCTAGGCTCAAGGGTGTTAATAAGAGGTTGCTTCTGGGATTTGGAGCCTGGGAGAGTCAGGAACCTTACTCGTCAGTTTATTCACCCTCTGGCTGTCAGTCTTAGGGATGACTAGCTTACACTCTGGAGACCATTTTGCAGCCAAGAGTTAACTTTTAAAATTTGCAATTAGTGATTAGCTTTTGTTAATGGATATCTTCTTGTCCCACACAAAAGAGGACCTGTTCCTGAAATAGGATGACTAGGGAACTTGTTAGTAAAAGAAGATTGTTTAGTCAATATGAAAAGAAAATTTTTTATATGGTCATTCAGACCCTCAGTAAATTGGAATTTTTCACTATGAAACACATACTTTTGTGGAAATAAGTGTGTATCTTTACTGGTCATTGCTGAAAACAACTTGACAAATTCTTTATTTGCCTTACCTGGGTCCTATATTGACTAATCTGTGACTTCTGTTTTTTATTCTGTTCTGGTATTTCTCTTTGGTTAATAACTCCTTAGAAAAAGCACCTTACCAGGGCTCAGATGACTTCTGTTCTGTGCCAGTTTTTCCTTGCTAGACAATATCACCTTGAACTGGTCACTTTACTAAAAACCTCAAATAGTTATGAAGCAATTTAAAGTAGTTTGAAGACTGTAAGCTCAATATAAATGAAAGTGATTTTTGTGTTGTTTTACGTTTAATATATTCTTAGAGCTCTGTTGCTTAACCCCCCTAGAGAAGTTTCTTGTTCGATGTATATTCCCTGTGGTCTCTAAATTCTAATTGGAATATTGATTTGTATAACCTTACAAAAAAAGTTCATTTCTGTCTCATTTGACCTTTCCCCTAATTCCTGTGCTCACCCAGGGCTTGGCTTTTGCAGTTATACAAAGACCTAATTCTTGCCAAATGGGAGAAGGTCATACTGAATACCAATGAGGCAAAAGCATTCATAAGTTTAGAGTATTCTTTATTACACTATTTTTGTCTCCCCAACTATATTGTAAGCCTGGTGAAACTTAATTCTTTTCTAAAGCCGAGTGCCCTGTACTGTCCTCCAAGTGACTTGTGTTGACACTGATGCTGTACTGTGCACAGGCATATCATAAGACATGTCAGCTGATGGGGAGAGGAGGTGAGCGTGTGTTTGTTCTGAGCAGGCTTTAGGTAGCAATAACTTCATAACTAGTTTCTTTTGAAGTTCATATGACTACCCTTGCTTGGCAGAGCTAGTTGAGTGAAGGAATTAGAGATACAAGATTTATGGATGTTTTTAATCAGCTGATGGGCTGCAAATATAAATGTCTGATGGAAATTTTGAATGATTCAATGGTTATATTTATAATATACTTGTAAGTATGTATGCACATGTATATTTTATTCTTTCCATATAATGTGCAAGTCTTCATGGTTAGTGATCTTTTTTTAGTCCTTGATTTCCTTGAGTATTGAAACTTTTTACTGTCATGTTCTCCATGGTCCTCTCCTGTCTTGTTATCTCCTGATTCTCATGCAATTTTGCTTCAGTTCCTAAGACACAGAATGTGATTAGTTTGTCATTTGTAGGTAAGTTACATAGGGTACTGGTTATTTTTTTGTGATCCAGGATCATCCTGTATTTATTTTGGCTGTTGGTTTTGGGACACAGTGTGTTGGTCCCTTTGGTCGGGACTCTGAGTGTAGCAGTTTCCTTTTGAGGAGGAGGCAGTAGATGAACAGGCATTACAAAATACTCCTCTGCTTTTCTTCGGTAATCTAAACTTCAGCTATATCCACCTATACCTCACTTCTCCCCAGAAGTTTAGTTTTGTGTTACCTGTCACACACCCATGTGGGTGTCTCTCTACCTTCAAATTCGCCTGTCTAAAACTGCGGTCCTCTTTGTTCTGAAACCAGTTCTTAATTCTTTGTAGTCTAACTTGGTTTTCTTATCTAAGTCTCTATGCTTCCTTTATAATCCTGTTTTCCTTTCTTTCCACATTTGGCCATTAAGTCCCATTATAAAACTTCTTGTATTGATGTTGATCCCTTCCTTCCATTAACACTGAGATTCTTTAGTCTGACCTTTTTTTTTTTTTTTTTTAAGATTTATTTATTTATTTTGTAGAAGAACTGGGGTGTAGACCACAGATTTGGGGGGGGTGAGTGAGAGAATTCATCAGAGAGAAAGAGGGGAGCAAAACAGGTGGATTGACTGAAATACACCTGGCAACAGCAGGTGAGACAGAAGTCTGCAGCTCCATGTGGGTCAGTTTTCCTCAAATTGAGGCCACAGTGGGTGAGATTTAACCCTTAGGCCTCCAGGGCCCCTCCCATCTCCTGGATTTTCTGACATTTAGCACCACACATTTGAGTTTCCAACAATCGCCTCACTTATCTCCCTGCTGCCTGTATTTCCTCCACCAAGAAATCTCCAGTGAGATGCCAGATAAATCTTTGAGCCCCATCTTGACTCTTAGTTCTGGCAACTATTTCCTTTAGGTTGGTTATAGATATTCATCACAGATAATTATAATGTTAGTGATGTTAGTGGGGTAAAGTGATTATTAAAATTTTATTCCTAACAGCTTAGGATTTTTCTCTCTCTCTGATAATGAGTGAAAGTAGCAAGTGAATTTCAAAATTAACAACCAAAAAAAGATGAGATATATTTAGGTATACCAATACAAAAAGATCATCAAGCTATGTTGTCAGGTCAGAAAAGTGTACATAATAAGCTAAATGAATAGTTACATAAAGACAAGCTGAAAACTAACCCGTGATAGCTGACTACAGAACCAAGACACCAAAGAGGGAGGAGAAAAACCGGGAGGGAGGTTTTTCTCATCACCACAATGGTCTGTGGTGATGGAGTGTGGGCAGAGTCGGTGGTGGATGCACTGCTGTGGTGACACCTGATGGGGATACATACCCCAATGTTACCTCGATTAGTGAATAAGTAAGAAAAAGGGGGGAAAGGGTGTAATACACAGTTGTATACTTGTGCATACATTAAAAAAAAATTGGAATACATATACCAAATTAATAGTAAAGTACCTTTGAAAAAGAAATAGAGAGAAGGGATATAAAAAGAGTAGCTTTAGTTTTTATTTTCCATATTTTAGTATTGTTTACTTCTTTCACTGTTACATAAGCATATATTCACTTTTTACTTTTTTAACTTACAGCTAGAGGAAGGTTGTTCTTTTGATCTTAGAAAATAAGCAAATTGAGTCAGTCAGGAAGCATTCTCGGTTTTACAGACTGGCAATAGTCATTAATCAGATGGCTTTTATTTTTACACAGAAAGGCAAAAATACTAAATTATGTAAAGAGCAAAACAACATTTAGTTGTTACTAAAGGCAGACTTATGTGGATAATTGGTTAATTTCAGTTTGACAGTCAAACAGTTAAAGCAGTTTTGTTAATGGCACAAATACCTTCACCATTGAGTATGAGTACTCCCATTGTTGGTTATAATCTTCCTTTGTCTTAAATATGTATATTTGAAAACTTTTAAATACCAGTCAGTTGAAGTCACTTGTTAAGTGGCAGATGCCAGTCGGCACTAAATAATGTAATTCTTCTTGGACTGTTTACTTTAGAATGTAGGAGTTACCGCCTGTACATGTGCTGCGGTGGGAGCGAGCTGGGTGGGAGCGAGCTGGGAGACTGCATGGGCTGGACGCAGAGTCCCAGACTTAGGAAACACTAGCAATGATGGGAACCAATGAGGGGGGCCTCCGTGAACTTAAACAACAACAACAACAACAAAAAACCTCTAATCAGTAATCAGTACTACTTAAAAAATGTAGTCATTTTTTATAAAATGTAGTCACAAACAGGCTTCACTGTTTAGGCTGATAATTCTTTGTACTTTTTTTCAAAGCTGTCCAGACCAAATCAAAGAAGACATTAGCCAAATCCAATGTAAGGAATATCGTGGTAGTGGAAGGTGTCCGCACTCCATTTTTGCTGTCAGGCACATCGTAAGTATAAAATGACTGTGTTGTTTTCTGCCAGCTTTCTTGAGGTTTGAGTAGCAAAAGTTGCCTATGTGTAGGTTTTTGTTTAAAAGTACACAATGTGATGTATTTACATGTGTACACATTGTGAAAGGATTGCCACATTGAACTCATTAATGTGTGCATCACCCTACATAGTTTATTCCTTCTTTTAAGACACATTAGAAGTGATTTTTTAAATTATATATAATAGTTTATTTTTACATCATTTTGTGCATTTTTCTATCTCAGTTGCAATCCCCTTGGGCTTCCCATCACCAAATCACCCATGTGCCATCACCATAGTCCAGTGCATTTCCCTCCCCCTACTGTTTTTGATCCCATTCCCCATCCACCCCCACAAAATGTCTCTGGTATATAGCTGTTCATCATTATCATGATTTTTCTCGCCTGTTCTGTTACATTCCCTCTATGAGAGAAACCATCCGGTATTTTTCCTTTTCTTTCTGGCTTATTTCACTAAGCATGATCTTCAAAAGTGATGTTTTTAACTGTCACCCAGTAGATAGTACAATTGTTAGTCACACAGAATTTTCATAAAATTAATAAGGTGAAGGCTTTGTGTTTAAATTATTTATTTTCTCTCCCCAGATATAAAGATCTGATGCCACATGATGTAGCTAGAGCAGCACTTTTGTAAGTAAATGCAGTTCCATTTTAGTTCATTTTTTTCCCCCAATGCTTATTTACATCCCTCTGAACATATGAAAAATCTCTATTAGTTGGTTTGGCTTTCTTTTTTTTTTTTTTTTTTCATTTAAATTTCATTTATTTCATTGAAGTAACATTGTGTCTTAATATGTTTTAGGTATATTCATTGAGAATCAACATGTCTGTACTACACTAAGGTCACCACTAAGAGTCTATATCTGTCATTCATCATTATTAAGTTAATAACACTTTTCTCTAGTTCTTATGCTTAAAATAGTATGTTTGACAAAATTGCCCAGTCTTGGAAATATTAATTCTTATGTGATGAGAAAGAAACCACTGACTTTTACAAGATTTAGTTATTCATTTTAGCCATATGTGCTGTACAATTTCAGGTATCTGGTGAATGTCAGTGATCTTTATTTTTGTAGAATTGACAAGCTTTTGGCATGGCAGTATTCTTTTTTGAGACTGACTTGCCCTAAGTCATAAACTTTATGGGACAAGATTGATCAGGTAAATATAGTACATATTTTTGATGGTTATCATAAACAGGTACCTAATTAATACGTAAGGATAGTGAACAGTATTCAAATACTTATCTACAAAATAGAATGAAACCTGAAGTTTCATATGCAAAACAAGTGAAAACTAGATGTGGTTTCATGATGTTGAAGTGGGTGAATAAAATGACGAGAATCATAAACTGTGTGGCTGTTTCTGTGGAGAAAAATCATCTCACTAACTTTCCATTCATGTTTCACTGTGTGTCTTTAACCATAATCTCAGATTTTTCATGGTTTGAAAAGATCCTCTGTTTTCTGCTTATCTGCTTTTATTTCTTCTCTTCCTACTGGACTTAAGAATAAATGGGGAAAAATAAAAATAAAAAGGAAAAAAATCCACAGAAAACAAGCAAAAGAATAAACGAAAGTATAATTGCTTTTCTTTCGATCCATTTATGCTCCTTAATCTCATAATCACTTTCATTTCAAATTCAAAATACAGTGCTTTGGAAGTTTCATTTAATAGTGACTTTTCTAGGCTGACTCTGGTGGCCAAAGGGGTAAGAAAGTCTCAGTGCTATCACCACTATGGCCTGAGTTACATCCCCCGAGTTTGATCCCTGTCAGGGAGCTGACTCACATGGCACAGCAGACCTCTTCTGCTTTGTTTGCTGCTCGGTTTAGCAGTGTATTTTAGTAGATCTGTCTGATATGCTCCCCACTCTATTTCTGTTGAATACTCTCAACCTCTCCCACACTTCTCTCCCTCTACACCCCCCCCCACACACACACACCTCTGGCCTATACCCCAGTTCTTCTGCAAACACACACACACACACACACACACACACACAGACATTTCTCTTAATAAACATGAAATACACCAATCTGTTAGGTCATAGCCTTTTTGTATTCTACATCATTTGACACTATCAGCTCTATTTAAAATTCTCTTCCTTTGACTTCTTAATATTAAGCATTCATGCTTTTCCTCTCATCTCCTTACCGATTCTTCTTTACTTAAAGAAAAACTCTTTTCTCTTTTTTAAAATGTATTTTACAAGTTTTAGTTCTTAGAGCTTTGCATTTGTCTATATGCATATTTATCTTTAAAAATCTCATCATTTAGGGCCCTCCCCAGTGACACAGCGGGTTAAAGCACAGCATTGGGAGGCTGGGGCCCCTTCAGCATGAGTTCTATCCCTGCCCCGGGGGCGATCCATATGGCGCAGCAGGCCTCTCCTGGCCCGCCCCGTTGCTCCCCTCAGCACTGTGCTTCATCTGTGGGCCTGTTCTACTCCCCACTCTGTCTCTGGTGGGTCCTCTCACTGCCCCTGTGCCTCTGGCCTGTACCCCAGTTCTGTATACATAAATGAATAAAACTAACAAGCTCTAACATTTAAAAAAAAACTCATCATTTAATCATTCATTTTTTTAAACATTTATTTATTTATGCATCCAAGAATTGAGGTACAAGCCAGAGGTATGGAAGGTAAGAAGGACTCACCAGAGACAGAGTAGGGAGCACATCAGGTGGATCGTCTAAAATACACTGCTGAGGGGAACCATAGACAAGACAGGAGAGGTCTCTGTGTCATATGGGTCAGCTCCCTGGCTGGCTAGGGATTGAACTCATGCTGCAGTGGCTGGCAGTATGTTGATAGCACTGTCTTTATCCCCTGCACCACCAGGGAGGCCCCTAATCATGCATTTTTATGAAAACTCCCAAATCTTTAAATTTGACCTCTTTTCTTAGATACCAACAAACTCAACATGTCAAAAAATAAAAGTTATCTTTTCCTCAAAGCCAGCTTATTTTCCTGCATATGGTAACGTTGCTATTTCTTATTTTCAGACTAAGATTTGCAAGTTTTTACTCAATTTTTTAGTAGATGTGAAGTGTACAATAAAATTTAAAGGATTTAGTGAACACCTAAATATCCTCCATCTCTGTTTAAATAATTTTTGCCCTTCACACCGTATTTGCTCTATCTATATGGTTTGGAGCATTTGACAGTAAATTACAGACATCTTGATACTTCAACTGCAAATACTTCAGATTTTATCTCCTAAGAATAAGTACATTTTCAGGCCCTCCCTGGTGGTACAACAGGTTAAAATGCAGCACTACGAATCTAGCTGCAGCCATTTCACATGAGTTCTATCTCTGGCCAGACAGCTGACCCACATGGCGTGGCAGACCTCTCCTGGCCCGCCCACTGCCCCCCTCAGCAGTGTACTTTGTTGATCTGTCTGTTCTGTTCCCCACTCTGTCTGGTGAATCCTCTCATTGCCCCTGTACCTCTGGCCTGTATCCTAATCCTGTGTGCATAAATAAAAATTAATCTTTAAAAAAAAAAGAGAAAATAAGTACATTTTCCACTATACAGTATACCATGACTATGGTCATAATAAAAATTCCATGTAATTTCTGATTTCCTGTTCATAGTCAAATCCTCAGTTGTTCTAAGAATGTCTCTTCTTATAATAGTTTTTCCAAACTAGGACCTAGTTAAGGTTCATAGTAGAAATGGATATGTCTCTTAATCTTTTCTAATCTTCCTTCCTTCTTCATACTCTGTCCTTCCTTATCCTCTGTCCTTTTGTTCTCCCAGTGATATTGAGATGGGTGATTTTTTGAAAAGTCCAGGCTAGCTGTTCTATGTAATTATTCCCCACTGTGGAAGTTTTCTCATGCTGTTACTTAACTTTCCTTTATGAGTAGCCAGTAAACTGGAGGTTAGATCTAGAGATTTGGTTATATTTAGGTTAAAAGTTTTTTTGGTAAGAATGCTCATGAGCAAAGAGCAAGGTATGGCATCTTGTCAAGAGGCATGTGACCTGTGATGCTAAATCTGACCCTTGATCATGGTAGTGAGGTTGCCAGATCTATGATTACAAAAGTACCTTTTCCTCTTATAATTAGTAATCTGTTAAGTGATAACTTAGTACAAGGTCTTATTCTCCAACAAATCTTCGCCAAATGTTTTTACATTCATTGAAAATTTTTGCTTGAATCAGTTATTACATTAAAGATTACAGATTTGTGATTTTCCTGATTATGTTAGGCTGGTATTTTTCTATGGAGAGCAATTACTCTTTTTTCAATGTTGAGGTCTTAGGAATTTTACATATTTTGAGCCAAAGTTAGTCATTCTGCCTGAAGTTCAGATTATCCTATAATTTATCTGTGGGTGCTCCTTCAAGTTAGTCTCTGTGTCCCTTTTGTTTTTATTATAAATTTTTAAAGTATAATTTATATACAATAAAATGCACAGATTTTAAATATCTAGTTTGATGAGTTTTGACTCATCAGTGTATACATCCATGTTCCTGTTTGTTATATTGTCCCATGAGCCATTAAACGCTTTCTTATTTTTGACACAAAAAATGGAAAGTGCAATTTGTGCTTCTCCTGCTTTGGATCTAGTCTCAGTCATTTTTAAAAAGTGGCTTTAACAGAGAATGGCATTTCGAAACCAAATCATTCCTACTGGAGTGTTACTGCTTCTGGTTTATCAGTAGGTAGAACTAGAGAAATATATCATGTTCATATTGATATTCAAATTTAAATTTATTATACCTGCTGTTTTACTTACTTTGATTTTTATATTTGTCTCTTGTTTCTTTAGACTGAAAACTTTGTTTCCAACTATAACTTTGCTATGCTTACTATATATCTTTTGTCCTAGTCCAAATTATTTTTGTTTTTTCCATCCAAACTTTTCATTGCCAGTGAGCATCAAATGTTGACTTGGGGCAGGGGGGTTTGTCACATTGGATGGGATACATTTCCTTTATTGATGTAACATTGGTTTACAGCACTTTATATGATTAAGGGGAATAGGTTCGCACTTCCTCAGATGCATGATACCACCCTACCCTAATGTTGACTTTTAAAATCAGTCATCCATTTCTTCTTTGGTAAGGTGACACATACTTGTCAAATTAAGGGAAAGGTACAATTTCTGGCTCTTTGAATTTACAGTTAACCTTTTAAAAGGAGAATAGTGTTTTATGTGATGATTTATGGCACTCCCTCCATGTGTGAAATGTTTTTTTCTTTGAATTTCATTTTCAGGGGTTTGCTGCATCGGACCAGTGTCCCAAAGGACATTGTTGATTATATCATCTTTGGCACAGTTATACAGGAAGTGAAAACAAGCAATGTGGCTAGAGAGGTAAGATAAACTTTGTACTGCTTAAAAGATTGATGGGAGATGGCACATATACACAATGGAATATTACTCAGCAGCCAAAAAAGAGAAACACATGTCTTTTGCAGCAACTGGATGGAGCTGGAAAAGATCATCCTTAGTGAGATAAACCAGAAAAAGAAAGAAAAATACCGGATGGTTTCACTCATAGCAGGAGTATAATGGACCAGGCGAGAAAATAACAAAAATAATGAACGACCATATACCAGAGACATTTTGTGGGGGTGGAGTGGGGAATGGGATCAAAAACGGGGGGGAAGGGAGGGAAATGCATGGGACTATGGTGGTGGCACACGGGTGATTTGGTGATGGGAAACCCGCGGGGATTACAATCGAGGTGGAAAAGAAAAAAATGTGCAAAATGATGTAAAAATAAACTTTTATAAAAAAGTAAAAAAAAAAAGAAAAAGGAAACATAATAAATGAATTGGAAACTTCAAAAAAAAAAGATTGATGGGAGAATCAATCTAAATTTCATTTAATAGAATTTACTGTTTTAAAACTATTAAAGTCCTTTGTTATATTTGACTTAAAATATGATTTTATAACTTGAATAATGAATATCACTTATATTTAGAAGACTTATACTACAACTAAAAGGACACACACTATACTAGATTCATACTGTACTACAAATCAAATCAGCTGTTTGAGCTGGTTTTTTGTTAATTTGTCTCTCTTACATTAGAGACAGATAAGAGATTTTAGCAAAGTGTGACTAATAGGACTTTTGGTAATGTTACATACCATGGCTTCTAATTAACTTCAAATTTCAGCATTTCAAAAAGAACTTATTTTAAACATGGGTTTTATTGGAAGTAACCTTTATTATTCATTTGTTCCCATTGACTAGAGTGCATGTAGGGCAGTTTTTTTTAGACTGTTCCACAGGCGCTTACTTTTACCCCAGTTGGCATCGCTCCATGTAGTGTTTATTGGCAACTAAGATAATAACAGGCCTCGGAATGGCTGTGACATGTCCTAAAAGTATTCTGTAATCAGCCCAAACATGTCTTCTGGGCTTTATTCCAATTTAAAAGTGATTATTTGGATAAAGTTTGGATAGTTATCCAAATATGCATTTTAGTGTGCTAAGCATTTTCTTTATTTCCAGTCTGTGCTTCTCATATTATTGTGTCAGTATAGTTAAAAGGGTGGTAACTTCCGTCACTGTCAACTGAGGGGGAAGGGTTATTGAGCAAGACAAAGTATTTGTTCTGCCCTACCTTTTTATTGGTCAGTATATGTTAAAACTGTTGAATGCTTGGCTTTATTGAAGTCCACAAAAATCCATTAGATGTGATTAGGGGAACAGGAAAGAACTAAGAACAGGAAGAATTTCTTAATTTGTTTTCCCTAGACCATCACATTTCCAAATGTACCAAGTAGTACATTTTCAACTTAAAAAATGTTTTTATTGAAATACCACATTATAACATTATGTAAGTTGCTGATGTATATCTTTATAAATCAGCACCTGTATGCAACACATTAAGTTCACTACTAAATGTCCAAATCTATCCTTCACCATAAAATTGACTCCTTTTACCTTTTTTACCCATCTCCTTTGCCTTCCGGTTACAATCATGATTCCCAACTTTTACATTCCGAAAAAAACAACAAAAAGCTGAAGTGACTCTTACAAGTACTCAGAAAGTAAATATTAAATCTATCTAAAATTTCTATATACTTGTATATAGAAATACAAAGTTTTTTTTGGGAAATTTCACACCCAAATACAAATCTCAGCTATTGGTTAACATGATGTAGATTCATTTTCCCTCCCCTATATTAATCCAGTTGTTTGTGCTCCAGGTAATTTTTTATAGTGATTGTGGGTAAGAGTAAAGTTGAGAGGATAATAGAAGAATGTCTTTCTCTAAAAGTTAGCATAGCTTTTAGCTAGAAAATTTCTTTGGGACCCATTTACTGTATTAATAATGTTGTAGGAAGGCTTTAAGCTTCTGGTGCTAAGTGCCCATGAGCCTGACTTTACTGAAAGGCCTCCACTTATTTTTCTGCTTTCCAACTTAACTAAAAGGTATCTCTGCCTTTCCTTTCTCTTTAGTGTGCTAAGCTTGCCTTGAGAGCTATTCAAACTTTAAATAGAAGCATGTGGGCAAAGTTCACCAGCAACCATTTCTATTTAAAACTCTTTCAGTCCTGAGTCATGTGGGGCCAAGGGCATAACAGAAGCTGGAAAGGACCTTGTGAGGATCAGGCTGTTGCGACCTGAGTGCCCTTCACTCATTCCCCACTTGCCCCACACAGCTCACCTCCCTGCTCCCTGAACACTTGCTTTCTCTCCTTCTTGGATTGGTTCACACTGAGAGGCTGGTGTGGCCAGCAGGCAGTTTCCAGCAGTAATGCATGTATTTTGCTATAACATTTATAAAGGCCACTAAAAATGAATTCCCCTAATGGAAATCAGAATTTCATAGTAAATGGTGGTGGTTATGGGGGGAAAGAGTTGAAAACTTAATTCTCAACATAAACTTTAATATTATAAAAGTAAGGTAATGCACCAATGCATTCATTCTTCCTATAAGCAAAAATGGTATCAGATAATTGGTTTTGATTCGTATAATACTCCAGTCAACAGTATAATAAAATAATAGCTACCTGCATTTCATGTTTGATTGACTTTTACTGTGCCATCATAATAGAGGCCATTTTTGCAAGATTAATGGAGAGGTTGGTATTTCTTAGTGACCTCAAATTACTCTCTTTTGAAGCATCTGTACTGAACAGATTTCTCTTTTCCAGTTCTTAACTGGTCTAACCCAGACTTGTCAGAGGCTCACTTATGGCATAGGCAGTTCGCCAAAATGTCTTTCACTAACTTGAACTCCTATGTGTTTTTCACTTTGACTTCATCTTAGAGCTACAGTGTTCCTGTCTGAAGAGCCAGGTAGTCAGTGAGCGACTGACTGGCAATAAGAGTAGAGACCAGCAGGCAGGAAACTGGGTGAAACTGTTTACGGTGGTCAGCTGGAAATTATTTTCATGTTTGATGACTTTTGTTTTGCTGCTAAGCCTTTTGACTGCAGGAACACCGATCATGAGGATCCTATCCCTTGATTTATGTTGTTTCTTTATTCTATCAATTGTGTGAACGAGTTGAAATCAGATTATATAATGGTATTCTTGAAGGCTCAATACAAAACACATTGCTAAAATATTTGATGATGTAGCCTTGTTACCACACCAGAAACTGACTACTAAGAATTTTGCATAGTATTGGTCAATTAAAGAGTGGGTGAAAAATTCTTAAGCCATTTCTCAGTGGGCTTAAATTTTTTAATATGAAAATCTCTAAAAAAAGATTTACTTATTTATGCATACAAGAACTGGGTGAAGGCCAGAGGTACAGGGGTAGGGGTGAAAGGATTCACCAGAGTCGGGAGCAGAACAAGCAGATTGACTGAAATCCACTGCTGAGGGGAACAGCGGGCAAGACAGGAGAGGTCTGCTGTGCCATATGTGGGTCAGCTCCCTGGCTGGGGATGGAACATGTGCTTCAGAGGCTGAGTGAGGACAGCCTCATTGTCATGAGACTTGCTCCACCAGGAAGGCCCTCTGTGCAGTGTTAAACTCGAGCCCTCTCCTGATTCACCTAACTGAGCGGTAGTCTCAAAACATCATTTATATGTGGCACATACTTTCATCCTTCGTACATGGTCACTATTCGCTGTATTTCCTGAAGGCTGCCCTTGGAGCTGGCTTTTCTGACAAGACTCCGGCTCACACTGTCACCATGGCTTGCATCTCTGCCAACCAAGCCATGACCACAGGTATGTTTACATGAAAGCGGAAGGTACAAATTAACTCTCTTTGTCCTTAGGTGATTATTAAAAAGTGCTCTTAACCAAAGTAAAAGGTTAGCCCAAATCTCTGAATTTGTTTTGTTTTTTTTTTAAAGATTTATTTATTTGTACATACAGAACTGGGGTAAAGGCCAGAGGCTCAGGGGCGGCGAGAGGGTTCACCAGAGACAGAGTGGGGAGCAGAACAGGCAGATCGAGGAAGTCCACTGCTGAGGGGAGCAGCGGGCGGGTCAGGAGAGGTCTGCCACGCCATGTGGTCACCTCCGGGGCAGGCGGGGATTGAACTCATGCGGAAGCGGCTTTAGCTTCTCAGTGCTGTGCTTTAACCCGCTGCGCCACCAGGGAGGGCCTGAATTTGTTTTTTTAAAAATACAAGCAATAAGAATTTTGACGATTGACAGCTCTTCATCTATTTTTTGGACAAATTCCTGAGTTTCACAATTATTCATGTAGTTTTTCTGTTTGTACTGTGTCAGGCTACAACAGATATTGTCAGTTAGAGGAGTATATCTCTGGGAGAAGGGGTGGTATTTCTGACTTTGAGATATGAGTAGTTTATGACCTTGGTTTTAAACCTGTGTGATTCTAATATAACACTCCCTGTCCATAAAAATGGTGGCCTTCCTCCTTCTGCTGCCTCCCTGGTGATAAGTCACAGCTCTAGGTGGCACAACTCTTTCTCCACTTTCTCCCTGTATCCTTGGCATTTTCTGTAATAAGTTACAACTTTTCCTAACAAACTTTCGCAAAATTGTGGAATGTTTTGTGGCATTAACCTTTATTGTGTAAAGATAAAAAGTCTGAAAGATAATTGAAATCATATGCTTTCTTAGTAACATCAAGGGCAGGTTGGTCAGCCTACCTCAAGGGTAGTGGGGGACATAGCCAGATGCATTGATGGGGTGCATCCTCTATTCTGCGACCTGTGCAGCCTGTGACCCCTCCCAGTCAGGAACAAAATACTCACCAATGGCCATAAAGAGGGAGGAAGGCTGCCTTGCCTCTCTAAAGCCAGAGTTTCTTGAGCTTGTAGTAGAAGTTGAAATACTTTTTATAGGAAAGCTTTCTGAAAACTAAAATTGGGAGCATATAAAATAGGTAGAATATTCTAGTTTAAAACATGATTTGTTTAAAAATTAGTCCAGTGGATAGTTGCAGAGTTGATGTCCACATGGCTTGAATGAAATTAGATTTTTCTCTAGTGCATGGAATGTATTTTTTAGTCATTTATAAAAATTATCTTAAGTCTTCTGAAAAGATGAAAATCTTGATTACAGATGTTGTACAGTGCTGATATCATACAACTTTTTAGTTAAGAAGCCTAAATTACCAATGGTTTCTTATTTTCTGCAAAAGATGCCCATGTGCATATAATCTGTTCCCTGTAGGTATTGGCTTGATTGCTTCTGGCCAGTGTGATGTGATCGTGGCAGGTGGTGTAGAGTTAATGTCTGATGTCCCCATTCGGCATTCACGGAAAATGAGGAAAATGATGCTTGATCTCAATAAGGCCAAGACTCTTGGTCAGCGACTATCTTTACTCTCTAAATTCAGATTGAATTTCCTATCTCCTGAGGTAAGATTTGTGAACTTTTATAAAGACTGTTCCTAAAGTATCACATCTTAGAGATTTAGAATTTGTTAAGACTTGTGGATCCAGTTGTGCTCTGGTAGTTGTAGATTCAGTTAGTTATAGGGGTGGGACAATAATTTGGTCAAATAAAAAATAAAAAGTGATTAGAGAATTTAAATTTGTAAATTTCTTTAGGGATGTTGTGTTCACAAGGAACTTCCCTTGTGTTGCTCTTGATTGCTATATTTTTAACTTTCCTAAATAACCCTAGGTGTATAGTAATACTCGTTAGCAGAGAAGTAAAAGGTCAGTCCAAATCGCTGCATTTATTTTTTAGAAATTAAGTAACTGAGGGCTCCTGGCCTGCTGTCTCCTCTCCAGCTCCCTGCAGTAGCTGAGTTCTCCACCAACGAGACTATGGGCCACTCTGCAGACCGACTGGCTGCTGCCTTTTCTGTTTCCCGAATGGAGCAGGATGAGTATGCACTGCGCTCACATAACCTGGCCAAGAAGGCACAGGACGAAGGACTCCTTTCTGATGTTGTGCCCTTCAAAGTCCCAGGTAAGATGTCCTGTTCAACTTTGGAGAAGGGAAAGCTTCATGTTATTTGTTAGACACTTTTGAATTGCTCCTAAAAATAAAAAAAAAAACCATGTAACTTTGGCATGTTTATTCTCAAACATGGGTTCAAGTTTCAGTTTATGTTGTAGCAATAGGTAAATATATATATTTTTAAATGTATTTATGTATTCATACAGAACTGGGGTACAGGCCAGAGATGCGGAGGGTGAAAGGATTCACCAGAAACAGAGTGGGGAGCAAGAACAGGCAGATGGAGGAAGTACACTGCTGAGGGGAGCAGTGGGCGGGTCAGGAGAGGTCTGCTGCGCCATGTGGTCACCTCCAGGGCAGGCGGGGATCGAACTCATGCGAAAGTGGCTTAAACTTCTTAGTGCACTGCTTTAACCTGCCCCCAGGGAGGGCCAGGTAAATATTTTTAAAGGAGAAGTTTTCACTAGAAGAGTCTCCTCTTAGACCTTCCTCATACATTTTATGTATATGCCTATTTTCAGAATTCCTCATTCATATGATTTTTGTACTGAATAGCCAAATGTGAGTACATATTTTAAGAAAATAGGGCATTCTGTTAAAATTACATCATCTAGATTATTTGCCAAATGTCTCAATTGTTTAATTTAAATTTTTATAATACCTTGATAACTATAAAAGACTGGTGTTTTTTTTTGTTGTTGGGTGACTAGGTATGATTTACATTTCAGTTGTTCTTGTAATTTGTCAGACCTATTTCTCTGAAAAAGATATGTAAGTTTTTAGTTGCTTAGAAGTTAAAATTTCATTTTTTTATAGGAAAAGATATAGTTACCAAAGATAATGGTATTCGTCCCTCCTCCCTGGAACAGATGGCCAAACTAAAACCTGCATTCATCAAGCCCTATGGCACAGTGACAGCTGCAAATTCTTCTTTCCTGGTAACTGTGTTTGTACTCTGGTGACTTTAATATCATGAACTTTCCATAGAAAAGCCTCAAGTAGTTCTATTTGTAATGTTCATTGTATTATGAATAAGGCGTAAAATTTCATCATAAATATAATTTTAAAGCTTTTGAAGTGACCCAATCTAGCGACCATCCTGACACAGAAAGCCATTCTCTTCTGGTACTTAACCAGTCAGAAAGTCTGACTGCCACTGCTCAGCCTGGAGATCAATAGAACAGATGATATAATGTAGTGAAAAGTGCTGTGATGGCTGTCAGTATTGGCTGTTGCAGAAAATACACAGACAGGGCCTCTGAGAGGCTTCTCAGAGGAAATAATACTTGAACAGGCAGTTTTGAAGGCAAAGTACGAGTCAAGTTATTTTTCAGTAGTCATGGAATTAATCTGCCCCCATTTTTTTTTTTTTAAAGATTTTATTTGTACATACAGAACTGGGGTACAGGCCAGAGGCTCAGGGGCGGTGAGAGGCCTCACCAGAGGCAGAATGGGGAACAGAACAGGCAGATCGATGAAGTACACCGCTGAGGGGAGCAGCGGGCGGGACAGGAGAGGTCTGCCACGCCATGTGGTCACCTCCTGGGCAGGCGGGAATCGAACTCATGCGGAAGCGGCCCCAGATTCTCAGTGCAGTGCTTTAACCCGCTGTGCCACCAGGGAGGGCCATCTGCCCCCATTTTTGTTGTTGTTTATCAGCATGCACCATCATAGCCTTCCTTGTTTGTTTTACTTGGCTCTCCCTCAACTAAATATTCCATTCTGCTTCTGCTATGTGATGTGGTTGTTATGTGTTACCAATGTGGGTGTAGCTTTTTGGCTATAGTCACCTGGTCAGTGTTTCTTTAACAATATAATTCCCCAACCTGGACATGAAGTCTAGAAATAGGCAAGTGTTTGACATATTTGACCATGGTGAGTCACTATTTTAGTATCTGCTCTTGGACTAGGGGAAGGACTTGGAGTAAATCTGATGGGCTGTACCACCCCATTAAGTCCAGGTGCTGACGGACTAGCTAGAAGATCATTTCTAAAACCAGATTAGATTATAAAACCATGGGGCACTAGCTACATTCTTGCCAGATCTGAATCCCCTTTGATACTCTTTGAAGGAACATATTAGATATGTGAGTTTTTGGAAATGTGTTGATTTTTGGAAATTGTTGATAATGTCACATTCAATGGGATTTTGCACACTAACACATTGAACATGTTACTAATGTCATCTCCAATAACCATTTATAATGTTTCCAGACTTTATGGCCACCCTATGGTTACATAGTCTGTTCAGCTACTGACTCCTATATATGATAAGAGGTAGTAGAAGTTATTTTGATTCTGCAGCCTCTAGAGTTGCTTTCTTTACTTTGGAATATTAAGTTTCTTTTGAAGTAATGGTAAAGGGTTTATTTTTCAGTGGTACCATTTTGTTCCCCAACTTCTCAATTGTCATTAGAAAAAAACATACAGGAATGTGTCCAGAGAGAAAAGCCTGTGGTATTGATGTCAACTGCCAGTCTTTTTCTTCTTCCACTGGCTTACTTATTATAAAGTCTCTATAAGTACAAAAAAAGTTTCTAGAAGCCACTGGGTTTAAGCAACTAAGAAACAATCCAGAATATGTAAAAAATAAGTAAGTAAATCATTGTTATAAATCATAAAGTTCCTCATTCTGCATTAAAAGCAAAAAAACTTTTGGTTTAAGTCTATTTTGAATACCTATTTCTAAAACTACCAGTTTTTTTTTTTAAATCCATTTTGATAATTATGGTCCATTTTGAATAGGCCCTTCTCAACCTTGTCTTCAAAAAATAGGGTCACTGCATGTTTGACTTGAGATTTAATGGTATATAGAATCATTGTTCTATAGAACCACTGTGTTAATGCAATTAATTGGTAGAGTCAGGAACAGGACACGGAGGATGTAGAAAGATGGATGTAGAATTATCTGTAGACAGGCTGAGGAGTTTAACACTGCTTGGTTAACATTTCAGACCGATGGTGCATCTGCAATGCTGATTATGGCAGAAGAAAAAGCTCTGGCTCTGGGTTACAAACCAAAGGCATATCTGAGGTAAAGTGAATATTCAAATAAGTAGCCTCTGCATTCTTTATTACTGGCTCTAATCTCTCTACTTTTTACCTAGGGATTTTGTGTATGTGTCCCAGGATCCAAAAGATCAACTTTTACTCGGGTAGGTGGCAATGTATATGCTTGGACTAGGAGAGCAAAAGTATTTGAATATCCATGTTTGCTACATCGATTTTAAAGTCTGTTAAGCCCTGAAATCATAATCAGTTGTATGTTGGGATTTTAAAAATGATAATAGTCTTTTATGTTGGTTTATTATTTTATAACTTTAGATTCTTTTCCATTTTTCTGTACATTTCTACATATATCTATGTATACACACAGAGAACTTTGTACTCTTTATTAAGATACCATGTTTTTCATATTGCTGTGGTCTGTTAACAATAACCTTTTTAAAAAGCCTCCTAATATTTAGAGTCTTAGGGACTCTCCCCACCCTACCTCACAAAACTCTACCCTTGGTGGCCTCCATTCTGTCCTTCAGACTAGCCATGTCCTTCCTTATGTTTTGCACTGTAACTGTATATTTCTAGTTCTTTACATTATTAGTCTTTCTCTTTTATTGTTTACTTGTTTATTGTTTATCTGCTTATGGCTAGAGAATAAAAACTGCATAAGGCAGAAGTCCTGGCTGTTTCAGTTCACTATTGTATCTCCAATATTTTACAGTAGAATGAGTGAATGAATGGAGGACTTTGTAATTCCTGTGGGAAACTCAGGTTGGGGAATGGGATGGTGCTTTTAGGTTAAAAATTAAAGTTGTGGGCCCTCCCTGGTGGCACAGCGGGTTAAAGCACAGCTTTAAGAAGCTAAAGCCACATCTGCATGAGTTTAATCCCCGCCTGCCCTGGAGGTGGCCCACATAAGACCTCCCCTGACCTGCCCGCTGCTCCCCTCAGCAGTGTACTTCCTCCATCTGCCTGTTCTGCTCCCCACTCTGTCTCTGGTGAATCCTCTCACTGCCCCTGCACCTCTGGCCTGTTCTGTATGTACAAATAAATAAATCTTTAAAAAAAAAATTAAAGTTGTAACAATACTTATTTTTTTCTTCTCAGACCAACATATGCTACTCCTAAAGTTCTCGAAAAGGCAGGATTAACCATGAATGATATTGATGCTTTCGAATTTCATGAAGCTTTCTCAGTAAGTTTATCTTAAAGGTACACATGAAAGGACTGTAATAAAAAAAAAGTGTGGAGCTTCACATTTGAAGTACTAACCTACAGTGATAGTGGGGAGGGGTGGAAAGGGAGGGAGTCAAGGGTCACGCTTAACATTGAAAAGCATACCTTTTGAGGCTATCTCTTAATTTCCTGTTTCTTTAGGAAATTTCCCCAGATTTAAAGTTAGACAAACTCATGCTCGAAGAAAGCCCTAAATGTCCTTACTGGATTATTTTCCCTTTTAGGGTCAGATTTTGGCTAATTTTAAAGCCATGGATTCTGATTGGTTTGCACAAAACTACATGGGCAGAAAAACCAAGGTGAGTTTCCACTTAAAGATATGCTTGAATTTCTAAGTGCTTTAATATTTCAAGGTTAATTACCTATAATAAAAATAATGGGGAAAGCAACTTCTTACAAAGACTTTTGTGTTTATTAAATATATTTCCGAGTCAAAACATTATCTCAACTCTGGAAATTTAGATTGTTGGTTAGTCTTTTCATTCTTCTATTAGATGAAAAATAATTGCTTTCAGTACTGACTTAGAATTTTTTGTATGTTTTTATATATTTATAGTAAAATAATTTGTGATTCATCTTAAGTTATTTTCCTCCTTTGCTACAACTTGCTACTACTCAGAACCTGGTCTGATTCTTACCTTAAGTCATCTTTACCCTTATGTCCATTTTTATGGGTGTCAGGTGGGCCTGCCTCCATTGGACAAGTTTAACAACTGGGGTGGATCGCTGTCCCTGGGACACCCGTTTGGAGCCACCGGTTGTCGGTTGGTTATGGCAGCTGCTAACAGACTACGGAAGGATGGAGGCCAGTATGGCTTAGTGGCCGCCTGTGCAGCTGGAGGACAGGTGGGTCATAGCGGCTTCTGGAAAGTCATTTTCTCAAAAACAAAAATAAGTTCATTCAAGAATGGTTGGTTTACTTTAGTTTGAAAAATTCTTAAAGTAATATTTCTGATGATAGAAAACTAGAAAAACTATTTTTAGGGGAAGAGAGATACTATTTTAATTATAATAATACTAGAAGGAAGATGCTATTTAAATCCAGCTTTTTATTAAAAAATTAGAGGCCCTTCCTGGTGGTGCAGCAGGTTAAAGCACTGCACTAAGAAGCTGAAACCACTTCCGCATGAGTTCGATTCCCGCCTGCCCCGGAGGTGACCACATGGTGTGGCAGACCTCTCCTGGCCCGCCCGCTGCTCCCCTCAGCAGTGTATTTCATCGATCTGCTTGTTCTGCTCCCCACTCTGTCTCTGGTGAAGTCTTTTGCCACCCCTGAGTCTCTGGCCTGTACCCCAGTTCTGTATGCACAAATAAATAAATCTTAAAAAAAAAAAAATTAGAATCATATATTTAGAATTCCCAAACCAGACATCACTATTATTAGCATTTAGATATATTTTCTTCCTCATTTTTCTTTTTAAAAGATTTATTTTATTTATGCATCCAAGAACTGGGGTACATGCAGATGTGTTGAGGATGAGAGGATTCACTAGAGACAGACTGGGGAGCAGAACAGGCAGATTCACCGAAATACACTGCTGAGGGGTACAGCAGGTGAGACAGGAGAGGTCTCCTGTGCCATGTGGGTCACTCCCTGGCCCTGGATGGAACTGGAGCTGCAGTGGCTGCTGATAGTTTTATTGTGCTAAGACTTAACCCCTTGTACCACCAGGGAGGCCGGATATATTTTCTTCTTAAATAATAAAATCCAGGTCACTTACCTCATCACCATGATATCTTATCTTTAAATCTTTTCAAGAAAAAGTCTTTCTGGAGCCTTGAATTATATATTTATTGAACTAATTTCCCTCTGGATAACTTATTGATGTTTAGCTGAGGGGAATTGTATTATTCTACAGTTTTTTTTTCTATCTGCCTTGATAATTTTATACACAACTTCCTACCTGCTATCATATTTCACTCTGGGAATAAAATCCAAAAGAAGAGTGGCTGTGATGTTTGCATTTTTTTAAACCATGATGGAGACAAATTTGTTTTCCCTCCAGAGTACAGAAGTTTTTTGTTGACCAAAATGGAGAAGTAAGAGATATAAAAGCATAAATATCATGAGAGTCTTTTTATGCTTTCCACTCAGGGACTTTAAAGAAACATGAAGTCAGTTATTTATAGATTGGAACTTAATGAACAAAAGCATTTTTTTGTCAGGGTGACTTCATCTACAGGACACTGTAGTTAAAACTGGAGCTCTCTGTCTCTTTTCTATACTATATTTAAGGGTGGGAGGTAACTCATCCTCAGCACTGCACATAATGTAATGCTCATACATTAGTGTCCTTTGCTTTTGAGTATTTCCTAATTTTTAATCTATCATATAATAGTACTAGATGTTCATCTGTGGATTTGCAGAAAATACCCATTACCTTTCTTCTAGAAGTTTATGAGAAGAGGTGATACATCTTAGAAATAATAAATTTGGTGTTGTTTTGTTAGAACCAAGACAGTTATGCAAACATGATTAAGAGATCAGAGGAGGACTCCATCACTGTGGATCTAGAGCTAGATTTCTCAACTTTGACACTGTTAATATTTTAGAACAATTAATTTTTCATTGTGGGGCACTGGGCTTTGTGTTCTAGAATATTTAGCATTGTCTCTACCCACTAGATACTAATAACAATATACCTCCCAACCATATGTATTTGGAACAACTATAAACATTTCCAGACATTGCCAAATATCTCGGGCGGGGGGGAGGGGGGTGAAGCAAAAACATTCCCAATTGAGAACCACTGATCTAGAGCAATATAAAAGATGTTGGAACATGAAAATAATATATTTTAAATAAAACTGTGGAAGGAATATTCTGCCTAACTCTGGGCACTTCTAGGACAATACCAAGTGAGTTAAAGCATCTGATCCCTGCTCCTTTTTGTTTCCTTTTGTTAAATATCTTTCTCAAGATATGTATTATAACTTTTTTGAACTCTGCTATATACTAGATTGAGGGTAGACATCATTTAGCAACTTTTTGTACACACACAGTGTTCAGCTTGGTGCCTTGTAAATAAGTTGCTTAATATATGTGAGGTTTGAATTGAACTTAGAAGTGAGGGGATTAGTGAGGCTCTTAAACTGCTTGATGGTGTCCAAAGGGTAGAATGATTGCAGTGACCAGATATGATTTAGACTAATGAATTCATAAATTTCTATATGAGATTTAAACTGGGGAAATAAGTACATAGCACTGTGCACAGTGCTAGAGAAGGGATTTTCTCCCCTCTTACCTTTGTTCGCCCTCAGATCTTCTTAACTTGAATAGAATAGCAAGGAAGATCCCAGGCTTGGAATCATCTAGACATGTTTTAAATTCTGAGCTTGTACTTTTTAGCTTTAAAGACTTGGGTGAATTACTCAACCTTTTTTTTGTTGTTAAGATTTATTTATTTGTGCATACAGAGCTGGGGTACAGGCCAGAGGCTCAGGGGCGGCGAGAGGCTTCACCAGAGATAGAGAGGGGAACAGAACAGGCAGATTGACGAAGTACACTGCTGAGGGGAGCAGCGGGCAGTCAGGAGAGGTCTGCCACGCCATGTGGTCACCTCCGGGGCAGGCGGGAATCGAACTCATGCGGAAGCGGCTTTAGATGCTCAGTGCTGTGCTTTAACCCACTGCGCCACCAGGGAGGGCCCAAATTACTCAACCTTTTTACAAAGCTCATTTTTTCTCATCTAGAAATTTAATTTTGTTGGCCTTCACTGTATATATATTTTGTATAGAGAGATGTGTGTGTGTGCATGTGTGTATTGTATATTACTAAATGCTTACAAAAATACTACAAAGTAGGCACCACAAATCCCATTTTATAAAGGAAATTGAAGTTCAGAATAGCTACTATAACTTCTCCAAGCTCACACAATTAAATGTCAGAACCAGGATCAAACTCCAAAACCTGTACTATTTCCTTTGTTCTCTTGACTCTGTATTGACTAGTTTCAATTGCCTTTCATTTCATTGCTCTAAGTGAACTTTTTTTTTATTACAGGGACATGCTATGATAGTGGAAGCTTATCCAAAATAATAGCAAGAAGGAGGTGACCTGGAGTTTGCGTGCAACACTCACAGTAGGCAATGCCATTTCAATGCATTACTGAATGACATCTCTAGTTCCCAGCTCCTTTTAGGAAAACAAACTTTGTGGCCTTCTGTAAAATACTTTGCAATTAAACCTTTGCCAGTATTCTGAGCTTTCCAGTAATCACGGCTTACTACTCTTTCAGGGATTTCTTAGTCACCAGAATCTCATCAGTAATACATTTAAGCAATTTTCTCTCTCTCTCTCTCTTTTTTTTTTTTTTTTAGTTTCTTCCTTAAAGACTAAATGAATGGTTACAATCTGGGATAAAAAGTTAGCTAAGATTTGGAATCATTTTTGTAATGTTTACACATTATGCCCTATTCTTATTTGTGACCTAAAGATAAAGTGTCTTCTGTAAAATGCAAACCAGTGTGCCTAATTAACTTGATTATGGAAAGATAATTCAAAGCCTAGACATCACTGAGAACTTACAGTAAATATTTAGATACATAAACACCATAATGGTTAACCTGAATAAAGTGGAGAAGTATTAGAGAACTGTTGACTTTATTTTTTTATTAGAGAGAAATGGTGGTTCTTTTAGCTGGGGGATAGATTTTGCCTTCGATAACTCATTTGTAATTTCTAACTTTTAGCCAACCATAACACTGCTAGGAACATTTAATAGTAACGAAAAATATGAAAGTACTCATTAATCAAGAAAAAACAAATTAAAATCACAGTGAGATTTTATATGTCAGACTGGCAAAATGAACAAGGCTGAGAATACTAAGTGTTGAGAATACTAAGTGTTGATGAGGTAAGGAACTTTTGTACTGTGCTGGTGAAAATGACTCTAGGCACATCTTTGGCATACATCTGGCATCGTGTTGTACATTTGAACATGAGACATGGTCCATGATCCAGCCTACTCTTTGCTATATTTCCTGAAATATGCACCTGGTCACTAGAAGGTACGTGTAGGTATGTTGATAGTAGCATTGCTCTCAAACTGCAAAACCGTAAATAATGATCTACAGGAAAAGTTCAGAATCAAGCAAAACTAAGTATGTTTCTAGGATGTCTACACAGCAAGTAAAAATAATTTCTAAAATTTACAATCAAGGGAGAACTTTTTTTTTTTTTAAGATTTATTTATTTGTGCATACAGAACTGGGGTACAGGCCAGAGGCTAAGGGCGTTGAGAAGCTCACCAAAGACAGAGAGGGGAGCAGAACAGGCAGATTGATGAAGTACACTGCTGAGGGGAGCAGCGGGCGGGTCAGGAGAGGTCTGCCTCGCCATGTGGTCTCCTCCGGGGCAGGCGGGAATCGAACTCATGCGGAAGCAGCTTTAGATTCTCAGTGCTGTGCTTTAACCCACTGCGCCACCAGGGAGGGCCGGGAGAACTCTTAACAGCAGAATTCCAGACACTCACGTAGATAGTCCATGTTCCAGGAGGTAGAGCATGCCCTTCCTGACTTGAGTGGGGGCTGAACTTAGGAAATAGAGTAAGGAAAGGGAAAATAAGGCAACCATATAATGGAGAGAAAAAGCGAACACTAGCTTGAGCAAATGACCAAAGTTACCAGCATTAGTGCAGTGGTGTGGATACCCTGCCTCCTGGTGTGCTGTAGTGAAAGGGACGCTTCACCTCAGTGGTATTCTAGAATCCAAACACTAGTAACCCAAGCCAGTTGTGAAAAACCATCAGACAAGTCCATGTTGAGAGATACTGTACTAATATTTGACTAATGCTCAAATTTCTAAGGTTAGGAAAGTTAGAGGATACTGGGAAATGGTTCTAAACCACAGGAGGCTAAGGAGAAATGACAACCAAATGTGGCGTCCTAGAATGGATTCTGAAACAGAAAAAGGACATTGTTGAAAAAACTGGCAATATCTGAATAAAACATGGAATCCAGTTAGTAGCTTAAAAAAGCCCAGAAATAAACTCTCACATAGGTGGTCATAGGATTTTCTGCAGTGACCAATGCCAGTTAATGGGGAAAGAACAAATGATGTTGAGAGAGTTGCAAACTCATGTGCAGAAGTTGGACCCTTGCCTTACATCAAATTAAAAAACACCCAAAATTGGAAAGAAACCTAGACATAGAGCTGAAATCACAAACACTCTTACAAGAGAATAGGACAAGCTACGTGGCATTGGATTTGGCTACAGCTCCAAAAACTGGGGGCAAAAAATCCCAATTTTAAAATGAGCAAAAAATTCATTAAAAAATATTTTTTATACATTTTATAAAAAATACATATATATATTTTAAAGAAAAACCAAAATCCCTACCAACATCGATTATTCCCTAAATACCTAAGCCCTCACCTCCACCCTTGTCAGCTCCAGTAATCTCATTTCAGTTTTCAGTGTCCACTAGTTTAATTTTTTTTCTCCATTTATTTGTTTATTTCCCTTAAATCACACATACAGATGAAATTATCCAATATTTGTTTTTATCCTTCTAATTGTGTATAATCCCCTTGAATTCCTTGTATTTCCCTACAAATGTCAGTTATAACTGAATGGTATTCCATTATGTTTATATACACAATGTCTTCTTTATTTAGTCATTTTATCAATGGGCACTTAGGTTGCTCCCATATCTTAGCTATTATGAGTGATGGTGCGATAAACATCATGCGTGTGAGTTTTTGTGCTGGTGATTTCATATTTCTTGGATAGATGTCCAGAAATGGAATTGCTACTGTATCGTATGATAGTTTTAGTTTTAGATTTTTCAGGAAGGTCCCTATTCCTTTCCAAAGTGGCTGGCACCAATATGCATTCCCACCAACAGTATATGAGTATTCAGCTTTTTCATATTCTGGCTAACACTGTCTTTTTGGTGTAAGTTATTCTCATAGGTGTGAAATGATGCATCCTTGTGGTTTTGATTTGCATTTCCATAGGAAGCGATGATGAACATTTTTTCATGTCTTTACACCTTCCGAATGTCCTCTGGAAAAGTATCTGTTTGTATCTTCTTCCTAATTTTAATTGGGTTGTTTGTTTTTTTTGTTAAATTGGATGAGTTCTTTATATACCTTGGATATTAACCCTTTATTGGGTATGTGGTATGTAATCTCTCTTCCCATTCAGTGGGTTACCTATTTAGTCTGTTAATTCTTTTGTTGTGCGAAGGTATTTTAATTTGATGTTTTTCCAATTATTGATTTTTGTTTTCATTTCCCTTTACATCTCTAGGGTGCAGTCCTAAAGTCATCTCTGTCATTGAATCCATGGAATGTATCACCTGTGTTTTCTTTTATATATTTTATGGATTCGGGTCATTAATCCATTTTGAATTTATTTTTGTGTATGGAGTTAGAGTATGACTGAATTGCATTCTTTTTTATCCGTCACTCAAGTTTCCCAACATCATTTGTTATAGAAATGGGCAAAGAATAAACAGTTCTTTAAAGAAGGTATACAAAGACAAACAAGCATGAAAAACTGTTCAACATTATTGTTAGGAAAAAGCAAATCAAAACTGCAGTGAGATCCCATTTCACACCCATTGAGATGGGTACTATCATTACCCATGATTACTGAAAATTGTCTTTAGCTAATGAAGTAGTCTGGTAATTTTCTGGTTTTGTACTTTCGGTTTAATAGAAATATTTTAAAATGGTGCATAACCACTGGATTTCTCTAGAAATTAATTCCTTTCCCAAATGCAGGAGTTCAACCCTTGCTGTTGGCAAAAGATAAAGCAAATGGGTCAGTAAAACTGTCGTGACATCGGAGCATTTTCTTGTAGGAGTTCAGTTTTATGAGACAGTCAGCAGGAATTGGATTCAAGGAGGTTTACAGTATCTCCTGCCGGATCAACCATTTCTGGGAGAAAAATTATTTGACGCAGCAGGCACGATTTCTGCCTTTTGATATATTTGGATGAGCAGGTAAGCCAGCCAAAGAGAGATTGGACGATGAAACAAAAAACAAGGGATTCTTGGTTAAAATGAAAATGTCATTCATCTTAAATAATAATCTTGGACCGTTAGCCACATACTTCCCTGAAAAGTATGCTCTTCCAAAGAAGATACAATGGAACAAAGAAAATTTGTTCAGCAAGTGGTGCTGGGAAAACTGGGTAGCTACATGCAAAAAAATGAAACTAGAT